GTGTGGATGCGTGGTGTTACCTGGCAGCTTCCCCAAACACAAGGAGGTGTGTATGCCAAGACACATTCATCCAATCTATTTTAGGTCTGATTTGCAGAATTGATGAGGTGTGACTGAAAATGACCTTGTTGTGAATGGACTTAAGTAGCCAATTACAAGTCTTTGATAGTGCTTTTCTTTTTTGTTGAGCTCCTTACAAATACAGAAATGTTTATCCACATGTGTGTACAAGACATGCAATACTAACTCCCATGCACAATTGCTTGAGGGACCAATGGAAAATAATCTAAAGTTATAATTATTCATTACTGCATGAGTGCAGGAGCACATACTCCCTTCTAGTTCCTGTGTTAAAGCTGCACTAATGACTCAGCCCTCCGATGCTCAAACTACCTGCTCTACAGCTTCAAGACCCCCCGAGATGTTTTACTTTTCCACCACTTCACCCCCAACATTTCTGTCTTTGACCTTTGACATTCTGGCTTTTAGTCTCCCTATCAGTATCGCTGCGTCCCTTTTCGGACAGCCAGCTGCATTTGTTCTGTCAGTGACAATTCTCTCTCATTGTTAGGAACAAAACAGACAGAGGAGAAAGAGAGATAAAGGAAGGGAGGGAGGGAGATGAGCCAATTTAGCTGAGTCAACTAAATAAGAACAGAGTACTGTTAAAGGAGTGATAAAAGTACTCATAACAGGGACTCTTTGGCCTTGTAATTGTAGAGTTAGTTGCTTCAACCTCTAATATTTCCTTAAATTGATGTGCAAATGTGTTTAAGGTTTAATCTATAATTATGTCTTCTGTTCAAACAAGCTTTCTTTATGATTTACTCTAAAGGATCTTTGTCATTCTTTCTTGCCTGATACTGTATTTTGTAGATTGAAAACTTAGATTAAAGTAAGCAATGGCATACAACTTATTCTTACTTATATTATTTAGACAGTGATTGAAATTCACTATCAGTTTTAAGTCACTCTTCAGATACCAACTGCTCATTAAAGCTACACTCAGCAGAGCGTCTCTAGAGTTGGCCTGTGAACATAATTAAAGCTTTAATCTCTGTCCTTGGCTAACAAGTTTTGATGCAGTCCCGTGGGTTTGTGCTGGACAAGTGTGTGAGTTGTGAATCTCATCACATAGTTGTTGAGTCATGGTTAATCTCAGTCTTCTTCCGTTCACTGTGCGACCACGACAGGACTGAACAGTTTGTGAAAAACGAAAAGATGTCTGTTATGCTTATTTTAGCAGTTCTTTACACTCATAAATCAAAATATTGATGGAATGTCAAGGAATAGTACGCATGTACAAACACTGATAAGACCTCATTGTTGCATTTGATGTGCTTGTTAATGTCAGAAAACCTGTAACCTAACATCTCTAAAAATTAGGAGACTTTGGATTATTTTGGCTTTTATACTTACATTTAATTAAATCTTGAATAACATTATTTTGGCCACTGGGGGCAGTGGAAACAAGCCATGAACACAACACAAATTTATTAGTGAATGTGTAAGCAAACAATTATCAAAAACATTATCAGTCATTTGGAGTCGTGTTTCTGGCCACCTGGTAAATGTTAAGTTCGATATTCAATATCTTTAACTCTGTTTGAAATATCTTGCTCGTTAGCTGCTAAATGCTGCACAATGTTCATCAGCAAACGTTGTTTGTCTGCCTCTTGGTGCTGAGCAGGTGGTGAAAAAACCCCAGTAAAGTTGTGGGCCGTAAAACCAAAACAATGAGCTGTAAGTGGATAAAGCTCTATTGAGCTAAGGCGAGCTGCAGAGTCTGGTGATAATTCTCTGTGTGAGCCTTTGTTAATATAAAATGTTGATTACAGCCACTTTAAAATAATAATAAGCTATGATCTACAGGGACTTTAGCGCTGCATCACATTTTCTGCCAAATAACACAACTTTGTAGTTGTTCTTGGTGATGCACAGAAAAGCAATTAAGAAGTTAAGCACACTGTCCTAGACATTCCCCAGGCCTGGATCTGCAGTTTAAGCAGTACAGTACATCTGTGTCCATGTGAGACATTAGAAGCAGGTGGGATAATCCCAGCTGTGTTCCACCATGACTCTCTGAGCCTGCCAGACCTGACCTGCGGCCTCAACAATCAGAACAGCTGACGTAAGAGTGACTTACATGCTCCTTAACAATACACATATAGTGCATGCAGACACAAATACAGTACATCTTGACATGTTGTATTTGCTAAACAGAGCTGGATTAACCCACTAGAGGGCCCCAGGGGAAACATTTTACGTGGGCCCCAACTGACCCATATTGAGTGATCAGAAATTTGCTTTGTGTTAACAGTAACACTTTACTTTATTTACCCTATAGCATTTATGAGCAGTTTGTAACACAGTATATTGTAGTTGTAAGCAGATATAAGTGTTTATTAATATATTTATCACAACTATAGCTCCCCATGGGCAAAGACAATGTAGTAAAACAGTACTGTAATAATAATAAAATATCTCTTCACAGGAGAAGTTATAATTGTTCACAAATACTTTACATTAATAAACGCAACTATAGTGTGTTATAACCATTCAGTTAAATACATAGTGATACAATTCTAAATGCCGGGGTTAAAGTAAAGTGTTACTGGTGTAAATTGTAGGCACAATTGTCTTTAGTTCATCATGTATCATGTGTCATGTATTCAATATAAATTGAAACAATAAATGCGTTAAACAGTTAAATAGTGCCTTTCTTAACTCCTCCTGTGTTCCTGTCAGTTCTGGGTTTTAGTATTAAAGGGTAACTACAGTAAATCAATAAACATGTTTCATTAGTAGATCTCAAATTTAAAATTATTACACATATGGTATAGAGTATATATCTATATATATAGAGTACCTAGGGATAATTAATCCTCTTTATACAGTATAAAAGAGTACATGTCAGTTTGTCCTCCCAGATCCATGGGTTCAAATAATGTGAAGGGTTTCTAATTTGCAAAAGCTGGTCATTGTAGGGCAAAGACAATCAAGTAGATTGACTAGGGACATAAATATTGGCACCCAGGGCTACTTTGACTGTAAATGACCACTGTAGAGATACTGTGGGAATGCATGTCCCAGAAAGGGTCTCAGATGGACAATTGACCCACTGATGACCTTCAGTGTCAAAGGTGACTGACCTGCCTATTGACAGGTGATGGAGATATCCTTACAGCCAGCCATGGCTTGTGTCAACTTGTACTAATGAAGAACTGATTCCAAATTGCGCGCACGCACACACACACACACACACACACACACACACACACCTAAAGTAACATCACAAATTAAAACCGTGCTTTAGAGCCAAGCATTGTTTTCAGTATCGGTCTGTATTGCTTCTGCATTATGAAACAGCATTATTACATTATTAGATGTTGATTACACACAGTGAAACATTGCCCAACACCATACATGACTAAAAACACAACTTTCTTTCTGGGCAGATCTCATAAAAGAAAGAAAAATCTTAAAAACAGAGTCTGTGTGATTCTTTTACTGCAAGTTCTTACATATCTAAAGATCCACGTTCCCTGCTGACTTCCAGTATAATGTGGACATTGAAACCTTTGAATCAGGTGAGTGGTCTTAACCGGAGCTAAACTGTGGCTATTTTTAAGAGTTCAGCCCACAAGCATAATGTGTCATTTGTTTCCCCTGGCGTCAGAGGTCTTAGAGTAAGAGAGAGAGAGAGAGACAGAGAGAGAGACATTCAATTTTAAGTGAAATTCGTAAACACCAACTCTAAAACTTCCAGTCTTCTGTTTATATAACACGTTATACTCACATTTCTACACATTCTCCAAACAGGAAAAATCGTTTTACTCACAGACAATCCAGAGCTGTGGATTTTATTTTATACAACAAACAGTATTTGTTTAAAGTAAATTTGAGATCAGCTGTTTTTAAAAAAGGACAAAAACAAGTTGTTTTCATGTGAAGGACTCCCAAATACAGATTTGACAAGAATTAACTGAAGAATTGATTTAGTCCCGAAAGCTAAAAATATTGTCTGTTTTGAAGTGTCGTAGATAACCATGAAGAAAGAAAGACCTTTGACAAAAATAACTAATGTTATTACTCCACGCATTGTTTTAACAATGACTGAATGCATTTAAAAAAACCTTATTAAAAAAGAAATAGATTGTTCTTTTTTTACATGTTGTGTGTAGCAGATCACACAGAAATACACTTAGGCCTAATTATGGCAAAACAATTACTAAAATATTAAATATTACATTAGATATTATGTAACACATCACATAGACAGTAATAAAGATATTTACTCAAAGAGCCATGCACAACATACACAGGTGTATTTCCATTTTTGGCGACTTTAAACCTCTACAGCGTGACATTTCAGAGTGAAATGTTGTACTTTTTACATCATTGAAGTTACATTTTACATATGCTATGAACATTTCATAAAATATGATGAACTCTTAAAAATGAACCTGTCCAACCAAATATCAAGTGGTTAAAATGACCAGCAGCCACATTAAAATACTGATAACATGTATTAGTAATAATAATTCTATAAAAACTTATATGAAAATATAACATGGACTGGAGACATTCTGCTACATTTGAAATGTTTACACTTTGCTAACAATTCGTCTATACTTCTACTTACATAATGATTTTACTTTTAAATAACCTGTGACCTACTTCATAGGTCTGTATATACAAAGTAATTTAAACAAAAAACAGACTCCTTGAGAACTGAAGAGTGTTTCACTGTGTGTCAAACAGCAGACTTCCAAATATCCGTTTCCGTTTTTTTCCAGGCTTCAGTTCTTTCGAACATGAAAAAGTTCTGCATAAATATATATTATTTTACATCAGTGCTTAGGTCAATGCTTGCTTTGGCCAGAGATGAGACGTATGACCCCTTCCTCCTTCTACCATGGCAACTTCATGGAGCAGGAGAGAAGGAGGGTTTATGGGAGGAGCAACTGTTCAAGGTCCAGGTGCGTAAAAACGCACCAAACACACGCCAAACACTTACGAAATAGTGAGCGTCATTTCGAAAAAAGCCCGATCCTCCAGCTCCTGGTACCTCTATTAATTAATAAGCTGTTTGCAGAGAACGCCTACTGGATTTGCTGTTACAGAAATAACCAAAATACCGGAACGCGCTGCGGTGGTGCGTCGCTGAAAACGGACAAACGGGGCCAAAAAGTTCAGGGGGAACTTTAGATTTTTCTGGACCGTGGAAGGCAACTCTTTCAACAGATCAAGACGGCTTGTTTCAGCGATAAGTGGTGATATGTTCAAGAAAAGCAAGAGTAAAATGCTGGTGGATTATGCGTCAGAGGAGGAAGACATGTCCTGGCACTATCATCACTCCTACAAGGTAATGACACGGATGGAAAGGAAACTCAAACAATCGACTGCTTACAATGACAGGCAATCATGTTTGGCGACGTACCTGAAACAGCTGGGTTTTAAAAAACGGCAAAAATGATCCTGTGTATCTCTAAACTGTCTTGTTGCACTTGTTCAGCCCACCGTTTCATTTGTTTCAGGGTCCCCCCCCCCCAGGAACAAGTGTCAGGAAAGCAAAATGAGGCAAGGTCGTAACAGTAAAGCTGGGTCAAAATTCATAGCATGCCAGGTTTCAAATGATTGAAGAAAAAGATTTGTTTAGATGATATATAGATCAATATAGTAATTATTATGAGTCAATGAGTAAAAAAGCCATTAAAAACTAGATATAAATGATCATAATTAGGCACAAGTCTAGTCTGCAACTATTATTTTAAAATTACTCTTAAGAATATTTAAAATACTTATCTATTGAAGCTGCTAAACTTACCTAACCTAAAAAGTAACCATATACACCTTATGCTGTTAAATTGAGATTGTGGAGCAGAGGGAGGAGGAGGAGGACAAGTACTCAAACTCATGTCATGTCTGCCGAGGAAGAGAGTGACAGAAAATGCTGAGACGTCCAACCAATCCAAACATATTTTAGATACTGTAAAACTGTAAGAATATCTAAAGAAGCTATTAAACTATAGCATACTATAGTCTTCTTCATGGGAAATTACAGGAATAAAGCTGTGGAAAAAGGAGAAAGAGAAGTATGCTGACTCCACTATTATCATTGAGTGCTTTAGCACCGACATAAATGTATAAAACAGGAATATTTTATATATTATATATATAAAATATACAGTTTAAATAGAAATACAGTAGAAAGAAAGAACTTTAGACTTAAATTTGTGTCAACTTTGCATCATATAAAGCTTAAAGACTCGACTGACTGACAGCACTTGTTAGTCAAAAGGTAACAACTAACAACAATGTACTTGTGTTTAAAAAAATGATAGACGCATACAAAGAAACACACAACTGCACAATTCTCAGGTGAGCAGCGGCATGTAAGATCTGAGCCTCTGTGTCATCTCTATCTGGCACTTGCAAGCAGCTGGGCTCTGTCAAGGTGCTGGGGGGCATAGGGGAGGATCCATGATAAGCCACACACACACAGGAGGCCAGAATCCCTGGATAGCATTTTTTTTTTTTTTTCTTCATAAAGTTTGGAGCCCTGGTGGAGTGAAAGCATGTGGTATCTAATCAGCTCACTGTACTTGTGATAAAAATGCCTTTAAACTGTGTAACGAATCCAGGTTTAATGAAGAAAGTAAATCAATAAACATTAACAAATAAGATAATAAGAGGAGACACAAAGCTGTCAAACAAAAACTATTTTTATTTTGACAGAGAAGATGAAGTTTAAGTTCATTTTAAGACACTGTGTGATAATAAACCATGTCAGATTACCTGCCTCCATCTCCTTGAGTGTATTGCCATAGAACATTCACTGGATGTGTCATGTAGCAGGGAATTGGAAAGATCAGCCAACACCATTTCCCAGCATTTTTCATCTGTTGTTGAGATAATGTGGAGATCTGTGACCCTCGCCTGGGTTTTATTGGCCGTTCTTTACTTCCACCCTGGGAACCAAGGCATGTGGGCCTTACCCCCAAAGAGCTGCTTTGAGTTCAGCTTGTGAATCTGTGTCCAGTGGTCACCAGCTACTTTTTTGGCGATAAGAGCTGATCTGGGATTAGAGTAGGAACTACTCCTCAGAATTCCTGGGAAAGTCATCAGGGAGGTCTCCTCGAGTCTCCATTGCAATAAAGTACATCCAGGGGTCAGGGGTTTGATCATAAAATGTCGTAAACACAGAGAAAAGAGGCAGATCCAGCACAGCAGTGATAAAGGATGAAGCTAGGATCAAAAGTTATGATAACACAGTCTGGACATGCAGGATTTTCCTTCCCCTTGGTCAAATCACAGTAGCTACTCTGGTCCGATCTACCTCTCACAGTAGAGAGGGCAAAAGATAGATTATCCTGTGATGTTGAAGATAATCAAACATGTCAGATGGAATTAGAAAAATGTTTTATCAACTTTAAAGCTACAATGAAGAGAAACTTAACAGGAAGGTCAGGGTTCAAAATAAAGTTACAAATTATTTTCAGTTTATCTTCAGATCTATTAATCTGCAGTTGAATGGTGTGGTCTGTAAACTGTCAGAAAATAGTCAAATGCTCATTACAATTTCCCAGAATTCCAGTTTACATATGGTTTGTTTTATTTGACAAACAGTTCAAAACCAGCAACTTAAATGATTAATCCATTATCAAGATAATTACCAATATATTTTCTGACGATCGACTAATCAACAAATCGACCAATAGTTCCAGCTCTAGTTAGAAAAGTTGTTGTTTTTTGCCACTTTATAAATAAGATGGCGGTTTTTGTTTTGTTTTACATAATATTTATTATATATGTGCGTCAGTAATATTCAGAAACACATCTTTTTGCCAAATTTGTCTGAAATATACAGCATATAAACAAAAGGTACACAAAATAACAGAAACACCTGACTTCCAAAGCAATAAAATAATCTTTATATAAATTAGGTCTAGGTTTACCTCTTTTTGCCCCTTTTTGCTCAGAACCACCACAGTCTGATCTGTTGGGCCCTTCTGGGTGTTAACAATAATGGTCAGGGACCTCAAAGGCACCACAAGCGCTGTTCTTTCACTTTCTTCCTCCAGCATTTATTCTGGTGGAACAGGGATGGAGCCAGTGACCCACAAGTCTGCTTTTCTAGCCTTTAGCCCACCTCTGTAAGTTTATAATATTTTTTCGAATAAGATCAAAATGTTTACTTATGGTCGTTACAAGATAAAGTGAGTCTCATTCTTGTGTACTTTGTTTGCTCCCTGTTATCTCTGTGTATGTTTCATGGCAGAACAGATGATTTACATGTAGTGCCTATCAAAGGAGTTGAAAGCGTACATCATTGTCACCAATACAGACAGACACAGACAGACAAGTATAAAGGGATAATACATCCATGGACAAACAGAGGAAATGAAGGAGGGTACAAAGGAGGAAGGGAGGAGAGAAAATGCAGGATTTGAAGTTAATATCTTTCCTCCCTCCACAGTGCTGAAGGCGACTACAGTACAGGCCCTGTGCCGCAGATTGCTTTCTCACCACTCACTCTATTGAAGTTCAACAGGCTGTAAAAGGCAGCTGTGAGCTTGCGGGAGGTGCGTGTGCCTGTTTGTCTGTGGCTTAAAGTGCTAACACACCTGAGTACTTCAATAACACCACTCTTAATTCCACCATAGGGGCCCTCTTTGTGAAGTGGGATCACAAAAGTACAGATCAGGTCTGTGCAAAAAAACTTCAGACGTCCTCACATCTAAATCATTAGTGGTGAAGAACAGAAAGGTAAAGCTGAGTGGATCATCTGTTGAAGGGCATAGGGTAAAAATCCTGGAAATCAAACGTTTGTGGGTTTTGTCTTACAAGTTCAAACCAAATTGTCAGTATGTCTTAAGCATTTTTACAATCAAAGCAAAAGTTTGTCATTCCAAAAAATATGATTACGTGTTTTTTTTTTTTTTGTTTGTTTGTTTTTTTTACTGAAATTTAGACCAGAATGTTGATGCAGGTCTCATATCTGTACGCCAAGTGTGAAGCTGTAGCCAAGAGAGGGTTAGCTTAGTTTAGCATAGTCTGGAAAGTAGCTAGCCTCGCTCTGTCCAAAGACTCCAGGAAGTCCCTGCTCGTCCCCCACAAGTTGTTGTTTTTACAACAATAGATGAGATACAGCATGTTCATTAGTGAGCTTCATATTAACTGCAATCATATGAGAGTGTGGTGCCAATCTTCTCATCAAACTCAAGAAAGTGAATCCTCATAGTTCTTAAAATGTAAATGTATGTATAAAACTATTCCTTTAAATATTTTTGGTCAAGTGCTAGTCCCTGTGCTTGGAGAATGTGGAGTATAGTTGGTGTGCAATGCCCCTTGAAGACTACTGTTGGTACTTTAGATTGAAATTCACTGTGCGTCTTTATTGCCTAGTAATCTGGCTTTTTGAAAGACAACTCTAAAATTTACACACTGACACAGTCAAAGAAGGAATGAGAGAAAGACTGAGAAAAAAACGACCCCCTGAGGTGCGAAAACAGAACTCTTGCTTTCTGTTGTTTGGAGTGTTTTTTTTTTTTTTTTTTTCCTGTAACACGACCCCCCCCCCCCCCCCCCCCCAAATCTGCCCTCCCCTCTTCCTCTATTTCAAGTTCTTTAATGCTTTTACGCAGCGCTTTTAAAAGTACTCAGCAATCAGTATGTGTGAGTGTGTCTTTGATCGGCTCAGGTGGCGGAGACCCAGCAGACTTTGCTCAGACATGTCCAACCACCGTTTCCCCTCCTCTCTCTCACGGAGTCTTTAGATGTCAGACGTTCTTACAGCTTTGATCATTTTACAGAAATTCTGGCTCCACTTCAGTAATCTCAGGCTCAGCTGCACATCTGATGACTTCTTGCTGCCCTTTTCTTATGATTTAAAGCTTTTTTTGAAGTCTTTTGGAGCAAGTCCAAGTGAAGTCTATGATAATGGTTAATATCAGTCAAAATGGATTTCTTAATGAGTGTAAGACTCAGTGAAATGGGTCTTCAAAGTTTTTCTTAATAGTGTATCTCACATATCTGACAACCAGTTGTTTCAATTAACAAAAAGGTGTGGGACTATGAAAGGTCTACTTGAGGCTGTCTGATTTACTTTCCGTTTGTCAGCGAATTTTCATCAGGGCCAAAGTTGAGACTTGATTGTTTTTTCTTCATTCAGGTTAAGCTAATTCAATTACATTCAACTTTATTTTCATTATACTTTACTACACAACATAGGCTGTTGGAATTTCTTAAAAAACAGCAGTCCGTTAAAGTTAAGTTAAAACCTCATTATTGTGACTTAAGTCTGACTCAAGTCCACAAGCCTCAGGCTTGTAGCTCTGTCTATTGATTTATCGTTATCACCTATTATTATTATTATTATTATTAGATTTATCCCACAAAACAATAAAAAAATTATGAAACTTTAACACAAATATTACACAAAGGATATATGAATCATTGGGGGGAAAAGCCTGTAAACTGAAGCACAATGGACCCAAAATAGCTCTACTTATATACCCAAAGAGTGTGACATACTGTTGATGCAATAGGTCACAAATTTGTTTTCTCTGTTTTGTTTAAACCTGCCCTCTGAGTACAGTGGCTTCCCCTCATCCCCCCAGTCCTCCGTCCATCTATCCCTCCATCTCACCCTCCAAACAGCGTGTTTATGCTACAGCATTAAAAAGGTTGCCTTTTGTTTTTTTAACAGGAAAGCCTGCACACACTCCACACACATCCCTGCCGCAAAGAGTGGAAGGTATGTGTGTGTTTGTGTTTGGGGGTTACTATTTGTGTTAACTCACTGCTGCTGTATGTGTGTGTGTGTCTCAGGACAAAGACGTAGAAGGAGAGGAAGAGGAGGAGGAAGCTGTCACTGCAGTATCCAAGGTAAACAGCACAATTTCACTGCTATACGGACGCAACACAGACACAAACACACTATTTGCTTCCAAACTTAAACTCAGTTTACAGAGTTTTACGTCTGACAGTTACCCCCCGCCCCCCCAAAAAAAGATATGCACTCGTCCTGCATGCGCTTATCTTCTAACACAATGACTGTACAGTCATGCGCACATGCTTGCACTTCTGACATCACGCTCATGATTGTGTAACCCTTAAAGAATCAATCTTATGTCGCCAAAAATGTCCACATCCTTCAATTACCCCAGTGACTACATAGATGAAACACTATGTAGTGCAGCTGAGGTAAAGCAGGAGGGTGGAAGGACTGCTGAGGCTGTAGTGTTTATCTGTAAACACACCAGCCTTCAGAGTTCACCCCCTGCTTTATCTGTAGCCTATCACTGGAAAACTGTCATTGTCTGTTTATTGTTATGACGCGTGTGTGTCTGTGCTTGTACTGTTATCTTTATTCTGAAACTCACAGTTTGGAACTGTTTAGGGGGGTCACTGTAGCTTAGGGTAAATGTGCAAAGGGTAATTCTTGAGTCTTACATTTTGCAGTTTTGACCATGATTTTTATCAGTAATAATAACATTGTACACAACTCAAGTTAATTGATAAGATCTGGAAGTGCTGCAACAATGTCAGAAAAAAGAAGCACATGCAATGAGATGATCATACAGGTTAAAGTGGTCATAAAATGCTCACTTTAATAATTTTATAATAAGCATAAATTGATTTAGGAGTTTTACCAGAATGGTTTAATATTTTTGTCATAGTGCACATTTCTGCAACAGCTTATCATCCTGTGTGTTGACCGCTCCGTTTTAGCTACTGAATGAAGCATCTCACTATTTGATCTTTGTTTGAATGGGCAGTACCTAGTTAGGGACAACAGGGCAATCAGAAACATAGTAAGGTGGGTCCTGACTGGCTGGTAATCCGGGCTCAGTTCAGTCCCTACAAAACACTGTAAAACGTTTATTTCAACAGAAATGGTGGAGCTTTGAATTTCCTATCGCACTGCACTTTACTGCCTTATCGCAGCTGATTGGGTAACACCTTTGACATGCCCACCGAACGGGAGAAAACTTACCTCAAAGTCCGTTGCGCAACATTGCACACTGTTTCGAGGAAATATATCGCTCAATCCGAAGACGAAGCAAACTGGCGCAAAATGTTTAAAGATTGAAACCGGCCCAGGGCTTTGGTTCAACTGTACATGTTCCCGAACCAGCTTCTTAACTTAAACTGGTGCAAGAGTTTCAAGGTGTTAAGTTAAAATTTGTCTTTCATACAAAACGTTTTAGCTGTCTCTCCATCACAGAAACAATCTTATGTCCATTGACTGTCTGGAGGGTATCTAAGTTTTGGTAAGGAGAGTGGGGGTGAGGAGAGGCTGTGGTCAGACTCTGTGTGTGATGCAGCTCAGTGTGTTTCTCCACCTCTGTTTCTGAGGGCGTGCCACACCAGCTGCTAGGCAAGCATTATGACCAATTTTGCATAGTGACGCAGATAGGTTACGAAAGTAAAGGCAGGACTACAATCAAGCTTTTTCAGACAGTTCAGAGGAGTGTTTTCTGTGGGAGATGGGAATTCCCTTTTGGAGTGGACCTTGGGCTTTTTTTTACTTTGCAAACCTATTACATGCACGAAAAAGATGTGAGACAATAATCTTTAAACAAACCCTTAGTCAAGGTTAGTTAACCCAGCCGTGTAGAACTTTTGTCTTCCCCTTCTGGCAGTGAGAGTAATTAAACAAACGCTGTCGACGAGTGCTCATGACGGATGCCTACATGAGAGCTCGCCCCAGGCTAGTGTTAATATACAGAAACTTCCACAGTTAGAAGAAAATAATCCATTATTTAGGTAGAGTAAATGAAATGGCTACATAGCCTGCTCCAAATATTATACAAAAACCTGTCAGAGAGCAAGTAACGTAAAATCCGTGTCTGCCTGCAGTCCCTTCTCTTCCCTTAGTACTCTCCAACAAGGGAAGGCTTTCTTTTTTTGATTGCGTTAAGAGGAAGGATTACAGAGTTTTTTTTCACAAATGTTTTTTTTTTTGGATGCTTCTTAGTTTTTTCCGCCATAGTCTCCATAATACTCTTAGTTGCTTTGGTCTAATCTGTTACTACGGTTGCTCCAGAGCCCCCCGTCAGCTCTGACAAACCAGTCATTGGGTGGCGTAAAACACATATGTGCTGCAGTGCGGGTATATTGTCCTTGCTACTAGTGAAGCAACTCATGAATGACTGTTTTGGTTCTGTATTTTTTTTATACCCCTACTGCATATATACCTCAAATTACAAAAAGCTATGGCCATAACGTTAGACCTCATTTCTGAAAACTTGTGTGGGGGAAGCTACTTTATCTGCACCGATGCCCACTCCAAACAATGTTTGTGTGAGTGAGATGGTGATGAGAGATATGTAACATCTCCTGATAAGTACTGACAACAAGCCTTAACTTATAGGTGTGGTTGTGATTGAACTCTAACTGCGTAAATCTTAAGTGTAAACCTCACACATTCACAAGACATTGTCTTTGACTCTGGCTGCCTTGCTACTGTAGGTATAGCTAGCTAGCTGACTTAGTTCACAGGACATATTTCATGACCTGTCCTGTTTGTGAAGATAGGGGTGGCTGGGCTGAAGAAGGGAAGGAAACGCAGCATTCTTTCGAGGAGCTGGGCCTTTTGGACGGGAACAATCACCGTGGAAGAAAAACAAGGCTGAAAATAGCCACAGACTGCTCTGACTCTGTGGATGGCTACACTTCTTCCACCGTTGGCTGTTTTATGCTCATATTAGGACCCACAAAGTAGTTTTTCACTGTAAAAGGCTGATTCCATTTCTAGATAGAGGGAGTTTAATTCTAGACTGCTGTATTACCGTTTTCCAACATAAACTTCATCAAACCATATTTGCAAACCATTCTTCATTTCGCCTTTAAAATAACATATATTTCATATATAAAGGACTGACTTCCTACACTGTGCAATAATGTCATTCACTTCTATGACAGGGATCAAACTGACACAGTGGCTGAAATGTTAAATGGAGGATAACAGTTTGGGAAATAAGGTTATTTTCTTTTATGCTGAGAGCTAAACGAGAAGATGAATGCCATCCTCATCTCTAATGGTTAATGTGTAGCTACAGCCAGCAGCCAGTTATCTTAGCTTTTCATAAAGACTGAAAACCGGGGGAAACACTAGCATAGCTGCCACATAACCCACTGTGAAACCTTACTGTATTAGTTATTTACAATCTTTGGTTTTCATACCGATTAAACAAACAAGATATGTGTCGAGGTTAGAGGTGCTGGTAGGTGGGTTTTGTTAAGATTGCTGTTTCCCCCTGCTGATGGTAGCTTCATATTGAATGGATCGGTAACTAACTTTTGACAAGAAAGCGAATAAGCGTCAAAATTATTATTTATAATGGTAATAGTGAACAGGAGCAGCCCTCATATATTACGTGTAGCAGAGAGGCACAGGAAAAAGATGTCAAGCAACAAAGGCCGTAGGTGGATCAGAACCCATGAAAAGTAAATGCAGGATCTCCAGTAACTGAAGCTAAGGCTTTCACATTAGCCCATCAAAAAAAGACTAGCTTTAAAAAAAACTATTGTGTCTGATAACCAAATTTAGCAATATTTCTAAATACAAATACCTCTTTAATCTCGCAGTTTCCATCTCTGGGGTATGGATGGAAGAATTTGGGCCAATAAGAGCTCTATTGTTCTGCCAGGCATGGAGCTGTAGGTAAAGCTCCCCCACACAGCGAGCCTCAGTGAGCTGCTTGGTTTACCTACTTTTTGGCCAGAGAGATTACTGGGCACTGAGCTGCTTTGGATCTAGAGGCCCGGAGGTTAATGCTGAAGAGAATGGTGAATAGGCAGGCCTCTGTATGGGCACGCATGCATGCATGCACACACACAGCTGGAATTATGCTACAGTTCATGCACACACACACATACACTCAATCTGCTTTGGCATCTCTGGTTTCTGCTCTGAAAAGCTCGAACTAGAGCAAATCTGATCCACGGTTTACACTTGGCAGCACACAGGAAACAAGAAGCAGAGCGAGGAGTGAGACAGAAAGAGAAGAGACAGGGCGCTGAAATAGCTGAGACAAAATGTTGTAAATATTTTTTATGATAAAAAACTCGTTCATGACGATGAGAGGTGAGATTTGATTTTTCTCTTATCAGCAACAGTGTCTGTATCCATATGAGATACCAAAGTTAGGCAGAGTAAAATGAATCCATAAAATGTCACGTAGTTTTGAATACGTAGTTTTGTGTGTGTTTGATAAAGTGTATCTGTGTGGCCTGCATATCAGTAGGATGAACTGTTCTGTAAGTTCAAGTTATCTAAACTGTGACATTCTGAAGCTTGATCTCAGACCTGGTGATCTTATTGTACGTAATCCTGTTTGGCTTGAGTGATGACTGCTTTCATGTCCAGCTAGCTGTTTGCTTGTTATGGCCGCTGTCACATCCTCTGGTTTGAATCGGACACCTCTTAGATGCTTAAAATATAGAAACAAAAGAAGCCGTTTACATGGGCTGCCAAGGTCAGATGCATTCATCAAATAATGTTGTGTGTACTGAGAATGATTTGATAACGGTAAAGCAAAAGCAGGCACAGATGTGAGTAGGGAGTAAACGTTATGACCTTGACAGTTAACATTGGGAATTCTTCCCAGGCATGGATAGAAAGGGCCAAAAGCTTGTTCATATTCGCTGTGGAAGGTGGAATCTGTGCTCGGTGGAAAGCTGTGAGTGCAGGGAGGAATTCTGACGTGACGGGGAGTCCGGGGCAGTTTCAGTGGGAGTGGAGGGTCCTACCACTGGAATGTGCTGTGTGTTATTAGTCAGTGCCACTCAATTGGTCTCTCTATATGTGACTCAATATATGTGTAGTTATGAGTTTTCTTCTCCAACAGCAATAAGAAAGTTGCCTGGTTGGTTGTAGCATTATAAACCTTAAAGGAGAAGTTCAACATTTCGGGAATATGCTGGTTTGCGTTCTTGCAGAGAGTTGGATGGGAAGATCAATACTGCTTTCATGTCTGTACAGTAAATACTGTATGAAGCTATAACCAGCAGCCAGTTAGCTTAGCATAGCATAATGTCTTGAAACGTGGGGGAAACGGCTCTATCCAAAGGTAAGAGAATCTGCCTACTAGTGGAGTAACGTCCGGACAAGAAACCACAACATGACATTTATATACGCTTCTACAGATTAACCAAATGAGATTTATCATGTTAATTAGTTAGCTTTAGCAGTGCTTCTAGGCAGATTTTGTTACCCTTGGAAAAAGCCAGAGCTAAATTAAGCTTCATGTTTAGGGAAAAACGGCTAGCCTGGCTCTGTCCAAAGACTCCAGGAGGTCACTGTGCCCAGTCAAGAAATAGTTGCAGCACATAATGCCACTATAAAACCACAGCATTTGAATTTTACTATTGATTTACATGTTTTGCACAAGTTAGCTTAACTAACCAACTGATGACAGTAGCTTCATATTCACCATACAGACATGAGAGTGATATCAATCTTCCAGTTCTCTACAAAACAATGTGTCTCAAAATGTCAAGCTATCCCTTTAAAAAAGATTGGTGTTGCAAAAAAAAAAACAACTTGTGTGAGACTGATTACCTTTTGTTAACCAAAAAGAGTAGTTTTAAAAATGGATGATTGCTGTATAGATGGTTTAGGTTTGAGGAAGAGCAGTTCAGAGCCAGTGAAGCCCATTTAAAAAAAAAAAAAAATGCACCTTCATCAATCTGAACTGCTTTTCTAAATTCCTGTGAAGTTGACTTTATGAAATCAACCTTTTCGGGGAGCATAAATCACTCACAAACAGGCATGGGAGATAACACACTACCATGCAACAGAAGAGGATAATCATTTCGGCTGTGCAGTTCAAAATCAAATGTTCTCTTTTCTGCTGGTTTCTGTCAGGAGGCCAAGGTGAAGAAGATCATGTCCAAGAAAGAGAGGAGGGAGAAGAAGATGTTCTCCTCTCAAGATGATGAGCACTTCTTGTTGACCGGAGTAAACCTGGCTGACCGAAGAGGGTGAGCTTACACTTATAGTTATAACGTTATCATTAAACATGTTACTCTGAGTACTTACTGTGTTTTTACATGCTAATCATTATGAGGATATGTTATCCCCATCGACAACCTTGTAAATGCTTACAAGTTAAAGTATCAATAACTTAACACGTAAACAAAATAATAATAATAATAATGGGTACTTTTAAAAGATATTTAAGGGTATAATAATAGTTTCACATTTTGGAAATGTGCTTCTTTGCTTAGTTAGTGAGATCAATACCTCTTATGTCTATTTGCTAAGTATGGAGCTAGAGCAAGTAGGCTGATCATAGAGAATGGAAACAGCCAGCCTGTCCAAAGTTTAAAAACCCGCCTACTAAAAGCTGGCTAATTAGAAAGAGTCAGGCTCAGCATGCTAAGCTAAGCTAACCACCTGCTGACTGTAGTTTATTTAGCGACATGAGAGTGGTATCGGTCTTTTCTCTCACCAAGTGTATTTCCCAAAATCTGCTAATGGTCACCATGCTAACCCACTGTGATTTGTTTGCTTTTTAGCGTTAAATTAGGTTCAGATATGCTCAGTGGCCACTTTATTAGGTAAACCTAATAGCCATAAATTCAACATTTATGATAATACTGGCATTTGATTATATGTTTAATATTGGGGTTGGAGTTATAAATGGTGTTGAACTGGAATAAATTATATTTAGAGGTGGTTCTAATGGTTTGCCTATCCCAGTTACAAACACGAGGGGTGCTACTACCTAAGTAATAAGCATATGGTCGCTTTTAAAGTTGTAACAAAATCTGGCTATTATAATCTTAGGAAGAATAGGTGGCAGATCTGCTGTACTGGATTGCATTAGATTGTGTAGGTGTACCTAATGAAGTGGCCAAGGAGTGTAATTTAAAGTAGCCTACTTTTTAATACCACTAACTATATGTAACTTTGTGCTAAAAATATTGAAGTCAAACCTGACCAAATCATTCCTGGTTCACATCATTGTAAGGGGGATATACCCAGTAGCCATTACTGGTTAAGTGTATGTAGCAAAAATATTTACAAACTTGATTAGAAATAATGGGATCATGTCCAACCACTTGTATTTGTTTACATGTAATACAGAGCTTCATTTGCCAGCAGTTGTTATCTTTCAGACCCCTTAAGGAAGTGGAACATGTATGAAGAGGAAAACAAATTAATTACCTCTGACAAACAACCGGGAATTCCTATATAATGGCTTGCTGTGTGAGCATATCTCTCACACACACCCAGTCAGTCTTATTTTTAGTTAAGATGTGAGAAGTCAGCTGATTATTTTTTACACTGCAACAGCCACTTTAAAGTTTGTGTATCTCTGATTCTCCCTGTTTTCCTCTAAAGGTCTCACAAGAAAATCAAGGATGATGAGAAGGAGAAGGAAAAAAAGGACAAGCCAGAGAAGGGCCACTGCTTCTGGGATAGTGTTACCATGACAATGCGGCAGATCTCACCCACCAAAAAACTGGAGAAGATGGAGGGCTGGGAGCCGCCTTGCCTGGATAATGTAACGGAGCCTGTGACCGATGAAGCCCCAGAGGACAAGAGCAAGAAAGGGGACTCGCCTGTGTCCTTCCCCAACTCTCTAGGCCTCCCGTTGGAATTGGCCTCCTGGGGGGGGCGGGGTTTTGAGGAGGACTCCTCCCGCTATGCTAACCTGTCGGACTCCAAGGATTCAACAGCCGCGGTCAGGTGGACAGCCCGCGCCAAAGTCAAGCTGGCTGGCATCAGCAGGATGAGCAGAGGGATTGTGTCAGAGAGTGCTTGGGAAGGGTTTAAATAGTAGCCATTTTACCTTTGATCCACCTCCTTCCTTACCTACCATCAGTAAAGAGGATGAAGACCTGAACCAAATATCTGCTTGTCTCTAGTCTAGTTCTGGAAGAAACTGGTGTTTTTTGTCAACTGGTATTGAGATGCTGTAGTCAAGCCCTGAATATAACACATGAAGTTTGTCCTTACTATTTTAGCGGATTTGGCTTTTTTTCTGCAGGGCGGCCACATTTGAATCACTGACTGCCTGTAAATTAAAACAAATAAAAGCCTTAAACTACTGAACCCTTTTAACTGTGTATCCCCTGGCTTGGCATTTAGATGTTTTATATTGCTACAAAAGGAGAAGTTATTTTCATATAATTATTGTGGCTGTCAAAGGTAAAGAATCCATGAAGAATATGCAAACCTGCTACTGAAGACTGTTGGTTTCCACTTCCTTTCTGTCCATGCAGTCGGATCATCTGAGTACAAAATGAGAGTCTCACGCTTAATGTATACATCAACAGTGGGCTTAAAATCTGTGCATTCTTGTGTGTGTGTGTGTGTGTGTGAGAGAGAGAGAGAGAGGTGGATAGTAAGAGGAGAGAAAGTTTATGGATGGGCATGAACATTTGTTTTAGTGAATCACTCAAAGTTTGAAGCTCTGTTGTGTTTTGAGTATGTGTCATAGACTGATACATCTTTAAATCTGATGCTGAATAACATTTTTATAAAATTTGTAATGATGAAAACATAAAAGCCAGACTCTGTGTGTAGTTGTTTCCCACAGTGACTCCATGCACCTGTGAAGTGCCTTGTATCAATAGAATTATGTCATGTGTTTGCTGTAAATTTGAACCAGACCGAATCATCCTCTGCTGTGCTCACCTCAATGTCTATGCAGGTGTGTCAACCCAGCATGTTCCTGTGCTGCGTCAGCCTTTAAGTCCATTCCTGGTTTCCAGTTACAAACCAGTGTCCACGGATGTTGTTCGCTTCACCAGCTGGAGCAGCAGAAGTGTTGCAGTGTGTGATACATTATAAAAAGCTAGTGGGTTCTTTAATGCTGTTTGCATATCTGTGTATTTTATAAGACTGAGGCCATGGAGATTCATTTAATTTCTACAATGATTTTTCTTTTAGATTATATGAGAAACATTATGCCATTGGGCTTTGCTTCTCAGTTTACTGAATTTGTTTGATACTGACGTCTGCTTCACTGCAGACATCCAGTCCGCTTCCAGGGATATGCCAGTATCCTGTATTTATTCACTAAAAGGCTGCGTCACATTTTCTCAAGCAGAATAAAGATTTAGTTTGACTGTCTGGCTCTACTTCTTTCAACACTTTGCAGTCTGGAGTAAATATACGCCTTGATTTACCAGACTTTGCTTTCACCACCCACATGGTTTTCACTGATAAAATGGCCAAAACAGAAACAGCCTGCCCAAGTTCTTCCACCAGCAGGCATTTAAAGCTGGACAGCCACTTGTAAAACATACCGTGACCTTAAAAATTGAATAATACATATAAATACTGTCCATAATGTTCTGTAAAATAACACTGTTCTTCCACTTTGTATATTCATGTGACATTTCTTGTTATTATATTTAATTTTCAATGTATTTTTTTAGAAAATGTCAGCTTGTGCAAAGCAAGTTACTTTTCATTTATCAGCCTTTAAAAACAATTTACATTACATACAAAAAGTTACATTTTCAAAACACTTCACACACAGGGCTAAACTGAAAGTCACTGGCTAAAATGACACACTGTATTTGGAAAATGCACTAACACTCACAAAAGATAAAAAACATACAACAAAAGCAAATGTATATCTAACAACACAACTTTTGGTGAAGATCATACAGTCCTTCAATTAATCATTACATAATGGACAACAAAATACAGCTATCAGTATGAACCAGTTCAACCTTAGGTTGTGATACATGCCATTTTATTGATACTTTACATAGTATGTGCCAAAAAAGGCAAGAAAGCATATTACAGCATGAATTGTATTTTCTTTAAAGAGATAACACACCCTGCTGCACCAACACTTGCCTTGTTGCAAAACTGAATGCAACATACAATAACATCCAGATGCTTATTTGCAAAAAAATGTGTTTTTGTACGACAGCCAGTCCTATGGAGAGTAGCAACACTGCTGAACTTTCTCCATTTATAGACCGTGTAGTGGCCACTATTGCAGGACATGAAGTTTCTGACTCATGCTTCCCAAAAAGGGCAAAACTGTATATTCCAGTGAGGCAAGGAGGCAGATGTAAGATGAAAAAATATCCATTTTATTTGACAAAAAAAAAAGGCGACTGTCACAAAACAAACGTCTCCAGCCAGAGTCCTAAATATGTGTTCTATCAAACTTACTTACACAAAACAACTTCAAAATTTTCTATTGCTAATACACTCCAGAAGGTGTATTTTCTTCTGCTGAAGCCATTCTGTTGTTGATTTACTTCTGGGCTTTGGATTGTTAACCTGTTGCATCACCAATCTTCTGTTAAGCTTCAATTGGCAGACAGATGGCCTTACATTGTCCTGCAAAATGTCTTGATTAACTTTGGAATAAATTTTTCAGTCGATGATAGCTTCCCTTCCAGGCCCTGAGGCAGCCAAGCAGCCCCAAACCATGATTCCCCCTCCACCATACTTCACAGTTGGGATGAGGTTTTGATGTTGGTGTGCTGTGCCTTTTTTCCTCCACACATTTGGTTGTTGTTCCTTGCAAACAACTCAACTTTGGTTTCATCTGTCCACTGAATGTTTTGCCAGTAGTGCTGTGGAACATCCAGATGCTCTTTTGCAAACTTCAAACATGCAGCAATGTTTTTTTGTACGACAGCCAGTCCTATGGAGAGTAGCAACACTGCTGAACTTTCTCCATTTATAGACCGTGTAGTGGCCACTATTGCAGGACATAAAGTTTCTGACTCATGCTTCCCAAAAAGGGCAAAACTGTATATTCCAGTGAGGCAAGGAGGCAGATGTAAGATGAAAAAATATCCATTTTATTTGACAAAAAAAAAAAGGCGACTGTCACAAAACAAACGTCTCCAGCCAGAGTCCTAAATATGTGTTCTATCAAACTTACTTACACAAAACAACAACTTCAAAATTTCCTATTGCTATAACGCGACAGTCAGAAAACTGTTGCTCTATGTCCTGCTGGGCTGACCTTTTACCGCAGATCACCTCATTTTTACACTTTTTTTACACTTAGCTGCATTTTACAACACTTGAATAGCTCTGAGTTAACAGAACAAACTAATGGAGCACAGCTACACGTTAATTCACCACTTAAACAGTAATGACACCCATCTGAGACAAACATAAAATTTTGCCAAGTGCTAAACACATAAAGGAAAATTAACAAGACTTATAAATAAGAAATTATCCACAAGATTAACCATGTTTTTTCTGGTGGCTCTAACAGAGAGACCTTTGTAACCCTTCATGCAAACCAACAATTCTTCTTCTGAGAGCTTTTTTGTTTGAGGTATGGTTTCACATCAAGGAATGCTACATAAGAGCAGCAAAATTAAAATTGGTGGTTTTTTTTTAGGGCAGGGCAGCTCTAACCAACACCTCCAATCTCATCTCATGGATGGGACTCCAATAGACTTTTGTAGAAGTCATTAGCCTAGAGGTTCACATACTTTTTCCACCCCGCACTGTGAATGTTTACACAGTGTGTTCAATAAAAACATGAAACTGTTTGTATGGTATTTCTTAACTGACTGTGTTTGTTTATTGTTGTAACTTAGATGAACATCAGATCACATTTTATGACCCATTTATGCAGAAATCCAGCTAATTCCAAAGGATTCACATACTTTTTCATAGAACTGTATATTATAGAGGGATAAGGACTGATTGGGGATTGAGGAGTAGTGCAAATGAGTTTCACACAGGTGCACTGGATATTAATAATTATGTAAGTCATTTCTATCAAATGTGGATAGATATTTTCCTTTTGTTTAACATGTTTAATTCAAGAAGTTTAGGTCTTTCTCTATATGATCTGTTTTGAAAATATGTGTAAAAGCAGTAAAACATTTGCATGAGAAGACTTATGCTGTGCTGAGAAGGTGGTGATGAAAATCAAGTGGATCCCAGTTTGTCTAAGCAAGCGAAAAAAACTAATCATGAAACTTTGTTCCTGTGTTCAATTAAAAACGAAATTTTCCTTGCTGTTTTCGGTGGGAAGACATTCACATTGAAATCCAAGGAGTGGAAACTACAATTAGATTAAGTCTAAAAAAAAAAAAAGTCTTTATACAGTAAACAAAAGGAAAAATTATTCCCTGCGACCCAGTATAAAATGAAGAACAGAAACAGGTTTTTAGAAATATTTAATAGTTCCTGTCCCATACAGTCATGATAGTACCATCAAGAGTATTGGAACAGCAAAGGAATATTACAAAAAGTTGGAGGAAAGATACAAAACGTTTTTTTCCCATAAATAATTTTTTACATTTCCTCTGTCTGTTATTTGACAGTTCTGACAAAAGTACATTTAAAAAATTTTACCGCTAATGGAGTTTTACATAATTTTCTCTTAGTGTCGACGTTTCCAAATATACACGGAGCACAGCAAGAATTCACAAAAGGACAACATACAGCATGTAAACAGAGACTCAGTTATTGCAGAAAAATACCACCAAAACAGAACACAACAAAAAGCAGAATAGTTTAACGCCATTAAATAAACCATTAACACACAAGTAATCTTATTCTGCTGCACTGTAAATGTTTACCTTTTGCCATGTAAAACAAAAACCCATTAACATTACTTATTATTATGTACCTACCATAAACATGCTACAACTCCTTTACAGAAAAATCCTTTCACATATTCATATTACATTTACATATATTTTTTTCTCTGTCAGGAATTGCCTTTTTTTGTCAAGAAGACAAACATTTGCGCTGAGGGAGGAAAAACATAAAAGTTCTTAAAACCAACAAACACACACATTTAATCTTTTCTTCGTCTTACGGAAACATTTGTGCGTAAAGAAATGAAGACATTAAAAAAGGCATCTTTCAGTTGAAGCCCTTTGTATTTGGGTAAATGACATCAAGGTCTCGTACAAACTCTCGAGGTGAGGGCTGGGGGTAAACGTAAGCTTCGCTCGAAGAACAACATGTAGGGTTTAGAACTTGAAAAGGTCGATAAAGTGCTGCGGAGAGATGGGCATGAGGCAGCTATCTGGATCGTTGGCTGTGCATGGATGGCCACAGTCCTGGAACACAGTCAACAACCACATTGTTAGAGAGAAGGGAGAAGCCAGAGGTGCAGCTATGCACACAGTTCACATACATACAACAACTTGACATGGGACACTGGAGCTGGATGCATCAGCTGTTTGTAAGTTCAAACTTGGTGTAGTCATGATGCAAGTGGAAGTTTACGCATTACTGAACTTAAATCGATTGTACTGCTCAAACTAGCTCTTACAGAAGAGATTACTTAAGCCTGCAATAACTGATTTTTTGGCCACTTGGGGGCAGCTGAAACAAGCTCTAAATACAAGCAACACTTTCCGCATACAAGTTTGATCCATTGTTAAAAGTATTGATTATACCACCTTAACATTACACATCACTGCCAGATGTAACACACTTTTAGAGTATTAGTCAACATTTCTGACCTGTAACTTAAAATGTTGTTGAAATTAGTGACTTAAACTGCTATAGAAATAATAATAAGTAGGCTTAGGGCTGGGCAATATGGGCAAAAATGGTATCCCGATAAAAAAATTTCCTATCATTAAATTATCGATAATTATCACGATACATGTAAAGTTGTTATTTCTTTGAAGTTTAACGGCTGATTTTTCTTCCGGAGTGAAAGTTGAAGAAGCCAGATGGTTAATTGTAGTTTTAAACTGTTCTTTATGGTCAGTATCTGACAAACACCTGACAAAAACAGTGGATCACTTAACAAAGCTGATATAGAACATTCAAAACAATTATGAAAAAAATCTTTTTTTTCAACAAATATTTATGAGTAAAATTAAGTCAAATCTTTTTTCGGCCCCTTTTCCTCAACATAATAAATATCTTAATAGAAATATTAAGTGCTAATTTGTTTGTGATTCAAATGATTTAAATCAAACATTTATTGAACATTTGTTATATTGTTATTAAGGAAAACTGTATTGGTCTAATTATCATTAGTTTTATTGCCCAGGCTTCAAGTAGGCTTCACTCTCAAACGATTACAATTTGTATCAACAACAATCTGAATTAACCAACATCATTGCAGATTTTAAGCAGATATGCCCAGATATGTTAACTAAATATGTATGTTAACTAGAAGATTTAGTAAAATGCCTTTAACTTACATTTCCAAAATAACACAAAACACTTTTACAAAAATTACAAAAGGTCACTTAGATTGCGTAACTGGATATGTCCTGCTCACTCCAAATTTCATAAATAGTACAAAGTTAACACATACATTTTTCTATGTAAGCATATTGTAAAGAAAAGTAATATTTACATTTAAAAAGGATTGGAAGTCAAGCATAATATATTGATTGACTACCTAAAACTTATTTTTTTTTAATTTACAGCCAGTTACAGCTGATTGCTATAAAGAGCAAGAGCTTTAAGTTTTAATAGTACCTGATTTAGTAAAGCAGGAGTAAAAACATGGAAGGACTTTGCACACACATTTAGGGATTTACAAATTGCTGGTGCAACCTGATTCTGGACATTAGTATACACAGAGAAACGTGTGTTAAACTAAATGACAAATGACAGTTTTCTTTCAGACACATGAACTCAACATTCAGAGGAGTTTATGAATCAACTAAAACACACGTACTTTTAAGAATTCTGAGAGAAGCCATTAAAAAGTCAGTGGAAAGAGTGGCACTGTTTACTAAACACACCTCGAGCAAAACATGATGACATCAAGTGAAACGGAGAACACTACAGTGATGAGTTATAAATCAGATCATCTGGGAAACATGAGACAAACTGGCAACTGAAGACACAAAAAGGCATGATGGGACAGAAAGTACCTTGAATAACAAAGCCAGGTGGCAATCCTTAAGGAATCAGGGAGAAGGGGTACCAGGAGAAGAGGCAGGAAGGAAGGGGGACAAGCAAGGAGAGGGATGCAAAGAGGGCGAGATTAAAAAGTATAGGCACCCAACATGTTTGTGGGTAGTAAATAATCACCAGGAGGGGGGAACAGATAGTATAGGAGCAGTAGTTTTCATCCAAATACTGTTATTTTTTTGTACATACATACATCTTTCCACCAGAAGTTATTATCTTAAATTCTGAAAAACATGATCTTTGTCTTACACGTGGTTTAAAGTCAGACCTTGTGTCATTGAGGGCAAACAAGAAATGTGTTTGACCTCTGACTGCCACGTATACATGTACACAGAATCCATTGTATTGGTGGCAACAAGGATTATCATTCCTGTCAGTACTTACTTATATATTTGTATAAACATAACATTATTCTGAAAATGTAGTATTTCACTGGCCTGCTGTTTTACCAGTAAACTGATCAACATCAGAGCCAAATATTTACAGTACAAAGATGGGACTATTAAACACCTTTTTTGCTGCATGCTAGAGACAGATATCAGTGTGATAGGCTGTGTGACTGGACCAAAGTGTCTCGGAGACTTTCCCTGAGTGTTCCAAATGATAATGGATGTTTTGTCTCTTTGACCAAGGAAATACAATGTGTTCTGGTACAAACTTGATAGACTCTCATGTCTGATTTCTGTACAGTTTAAGAAATATCAGGTCTGTGAGAAAAATCTCTTTGAACCGTGCAGGTTTAATTTACTGTACACACACTTCTGCTTCTAGAAAGCTACAGGATACACCACTATGAGGCGATAAAAGCAAAAGCTCAACCAATCAGTAACACTTATTGTGTAGAACATATTGTTTACTTAATGTTTTCCTCCAATAATGTACTGGTAACTTACTTGCAGTCTGATGAACAGTACTGGTTAGTCACATGGTATTTCCCTCATGTTATGAATGTGGTTGTAGGTGTGTTTGTTTACCTTCCAAAAGAGGATGCTACAGTGTTTGCAGAAGTGCAAGGTGTCGCCGTACTGCTCCTTCATCGGATAATGTTTCTGCAGGGTGAAGTACATTAGCTTCCAGTCCACATTATTGCTCTTGGTTAGGACCAAATTCCTACAGAACTGCACATGGATGGAAGGAAACACAATTAAAACACCCAACCATTTAAAACACAGGGGACAGGAATGTAATTATAACTGGAACAAAGTGTAATTAGATATAATGGAGGACAATTTGTCATTAACACCAATCATGAGTGGGTGTTTTTATACAATATGTGTGTGATAGTGTGTGTGTTTTTGAGAGAGCGAGAGAGAGCGAGAGAGAGAGAGAGAGAGAGAGAGAGAGATCATTGTGAGCAAAGTGTGGCAATTCTGCCCTCTAGTGGACAGCAGGTGAACTAATTAGCAGGCATCTGGGGCAGCCATCTTTTTGGAAGCTTAACTGTAAACTACTATTGGAAGTTTTAAGCATCTCCCTTTCAGAATTATTATTAAAAATCACACATTTAGCGGCACATACTCTTTGTCTATGTCTGATAAAAATTAAATATGTTGCTCTCTCACCTGTTTGTCTGAGAAGTGAAAGTAGCAGAGTTTCTTCCACAGCGTCCTGTTCTCACTGAGGAAATGCAGAGTAGGCGTGGCCTGTCCCAGGTTAATGATGTCATACGCATCGGATAACTTGCAGAGGATCTTGTTCTGCATGTGTAGCGGCAAGTCGCTGAAGGACGTGCCACTGCACATTTGCTGGGGAGACAATTAAGAGCAACACATTAATATCAGAGCTGGACTGTACAGACAAACAAAGTTTCAATATTCCTACATCATAGCAGTAATTTTCCACTGAGGATGATGTTTGATTCATACACAGCTGAGCATTAAATGACCAGTTCCAAGAGATTAGTTGTAAATGCTTCCTCCATCCATATTTCATGTTCCTCACTCATTAAGTTTACCTTCTGCACTTGTGGCCATAAAAGCTTTCAGATTTGTAGCCTATTTCCCTTTTTAAATGTCTCATTTACATACTGGCAACTCAAACTGGACCTGGAGGCGAGGCCCAGACTCCGGGGAGCAGACTTTGGGATGGGCTACACACAAGTCACACGCAAGTCACACACACACACACACGTCTCACACACACACACGTCTCACACACACACACGTCTCACACACACACACACACACACACACACACACACACACACACCTTCTACCTTGGGGATCTGCAGGTTATTGAGCTGCTGCTGCCATTTGAAGATGGTCTCCAGTCGGCACAACCAGATGTTGACGTTGCCCACGAGGACACACCTGCCAACGTGAATAGTCAGACTGTGCAGTGTCGAGCTCAGGTCCTGCAGCAGCTCCTTGACAAGGCGCGGATTGTACTGGTCCTCTAGAACTAGTGGAGAAATAAAAAATAAATAAATAAAAAAAGAAAACATACAAAACACACAAAAGACAATCTTTAAGATGAAGTTCAGCAGCCAAAATGTAACATAATGTAACTAATTATTTCCTTTTCCACCTAAAAAATTTTTATAACTGCACCTAAGGAAAATGCAAAGACTAATGGTAGTTTTAAAAAATCATTTATGAATGAATTGCTGAAAATACCCTATTTTTCTGCATGATTAAAAGCCATTACTTTATGGGGCAACACAGCCCCATAACGACGGAGCACACTGGTCCTACTGGTTTTGTGGTTAGGCATTCAGTGCAATAACACTACACTAAACAGTAGTCTGAGAAACAACATCTTCTGGTTGCTCAGAACACTTACGATTTGGTGAAGAAATGTCCTGTCTGTATAAAGCTACTTTTACTAACACAACATGCTACTGACAACTCTAACACCAGAAACAGTGCTGAGAAAATATCTGGCTACACAAGATGTCCACTGAATAAGTAATCAATGTCCGTCTCAGGTCTCCTTACCCTTTCTTACAATCTTCTCCAGTATATTGAAATAGTTTTTCTGTGCAGCTCCACTCAAAGAGGTCAGCTGAGACCTGGCAATCAGCTGGAAAAGCTGTGGGAGAGAGATGGAGTAAGACAGTTAAGAGGAAGAGATGCTTGTGCACGTCGTAGTACAACAGTTTCAAAAGGATCATAAATTAACATGTGTGATCGTCGTCGCTCACTCTCGCAACATAGTTGAATCTTCTCAAGTCCTGAATGGCACTGGAAAAATCTAGACGGTTGAGGGCTTCACCGAGCGTGCAGTAACCATGACGCTGTGTGTTAACATAAAAATACACACTTATATTTTATTAAAGAATTTATGTATTTAATAGCAAGTTAATCCTTCAAGTGAAAATTAATGTGACTGCTGCAGCACTCACTTCTTTTGTGCTCCCTTTCTGCACGTAGATCCATTTATCCCTGAAAACAACTGGACAAGGGGAAAAAAAACAAATGTATTGCAAAGTGTCCTTCCTTAGTATTTTGGTGATATGCAGTACTAACCAGGTGTTTACAAATGTTTGGACTGAGGTGGTGGAAGACATATTTAGATCCTATGCTTAAGTAAATTTATTAGACAATAAGTACAATTAAGTACAACATTAAGTGTTACAAATCTTAGTGAAGTATTTAGGTACAATCAGCAAAATGTACTTAAGGTGCCTGTGAAGATTTCTTGTAAATAAACAAAGGTTATATTTATATTCAGTGTTTCTCACCAAAAAGCACTGTATGCAACTTTGAGAAAAACAAAAGTGTTTAATGCATTTCATCCCTCATCAAACATCTGAAAGGTTTAAATCCTGCATTGTTTACATTCATCTTTACTTTCCAACAGTCTTTCACAATGTTGTACAATGTTGGGCAGTTTAATCTATAACAAGGCTTCATATTTTATAAGATCATGATGCATTTTGTGAGTAAAATCTTAACCTACAAAGCACCTATTTATTATCGCTGTCAAATAAATGTAGTGGAGTATATAGTACAATGTTTCCTTCTGAAATGTACTGCAGTAGAATTATAAAGTAGCATAAAAGGAAAGTCCTCAAGTAAAGTACAAGGACCTTTAAATAATGTAAGTAATGTGATGCTACACAGCATTTTCACAAAACCCTGAAAATGTTTCTGTAATCTGTGCAAAAAAGAAGGTTGAATTCCATTTATGGATGAAAGGTCATGGGTGGATAGTTCCAGCCCTGAACAATGTTTCCCACAAGCTGTCTGTTGGACAGCTGATTGAGACTGAAACTAGTTGTGTTATTAAAAACACGTTCTGGTGTAAATACATGCAAAAGTCACAAATAGCCATTACTGCTGTAAGCTTCAATATGATAATCACAAGTGATAGATTGAATTTTCATTATTGATACCATGAACTCTTCACAAAGCCAAAATTGTGATCATGCTTTGCTGAAACTCACACTGAGATTTGGTGTTATTGTTGTAGAAGTCCTTTTTCCTCTTTGTGGTGGGGAGCTCACGCACGTCTTCAACAAACAGATTTTCTTTGTTGTCACTGCACAGCCTGTTTGGACAGAGGAAGCATGGAAGGAACTTGTTAAACATTGCATGCGGGTGTGACCAGTTCACCTGAAATACAACATAATTACAAACTGCTGTACAGAGTATGCTCTGCTGCAGCGTCCTGGAGCAGGTCTGTGACTATTTACTGACTGTAGTTCATGGCAAGATGGCTCCTAGGCAGTTTAAGTGCTGCAATATTTTGGAGTTAACAACTTAGGCCAACAAATGTCCTTAATGGCTTAGGTGGCCAATGAGAATAAACTAAACAGAAAGTAAATGCGGGGCTAAAATTGGCTAAACTCAAACAGAAACCCAAATGAAACCATGTAAATATATTGGATACAGGTTATCCACGGGTGGGTGCTTGTGAGGGTCTGTGCACATTTCTTGCTATTTTTATTGAATATAAATGCTTTATGACAGCACATCAGGTGTCTTTGCAGAGTACTACTATTGTGACAACTTCTTCTTATGCAAACTTCTTCTACGGCAAATGAAATGAAATCCCATTAACTAAAATAATCTTTACCACAATCGATTCCTCTGTAACTAGGCATTCTCCAATGACCTTTGAGCAACAGATAAAAGGGCTGGACTGAACTAGTAATTGACGGTCACTGAATGCACTCATAATACTTTGGCTGAAGTTGAGCAGCCGACTGGCAACACTACCAACTCAGGGAGCACAATATATGAGTCAGCTGACTGTACTGGGCATCTTCTTAAAGAGTAAGTGGAAGGACTGTGGTCCATTCAACTTGACTGCAAAGTCTCTGGATCTCATATAAAAGCACACTTTTCATCTAAAGCAGATTTATTATAAGGATATACTTTAGAGAATGACTGATAAGATGGTTGCAACAAATACCAAGTACTACAACAGGTCCCAGAGTATATTCAACAGGGTATTTATTCTAATGACAGATACAACGGCAATATTCTGTTCATGAGCTTCCAGAAGCTGGACAAAAATATGTACTTCACACAATCTGAGTGATTTCAACACAGATTCTTTTGGATCAAGAAACAAATTTACTTTTTCCTCCAGCATAAGTGAAGGCATGGCTTTGCTTGTCTGACTGTGAAGTCAACAGATTGGGGCGAATGAGCTCTACAGTAATCCTCCGTCTCTATCCATTTATCCATTTGCACAGGCATACACACAAACACACATGCAAGCACAGTAATCTGTCACAGTGAATTACAAGTGAGGAATGCAATAGCCAGGCTTTTAGTAATTTATTTTTTTTTTACAGTTTGCATGCAGAGCACCAGCCTCCACAGAGCCAATAAAAGTAATCACACAGCAGCAGGAAAGTTCAGAAAGATTTGTGGACATTTAAACTATATCCTAAAATACATGAGCTAAAGGGTTGAGGGTTATGTAGAATGTCAACATGAACAGGGAAGAAAACAAATAAAGCATGTGGCTGACATTTAGCTGTTAAAATGTCTATTACTCACTGTAGATAGATGTGTTCAAGTAGCATTTATTACGTGCTTTGTCAAGCGCAAGACGACTAAACAATCAAGGCAATTCAGACAGTGTCTGTGATAAATTACCACAGAGATGGGCAGTAAAGTGAGGGTCAAATACTGACACTCAACTTTCCAGCACCTGACACTAGTGAGCGAGTGTTTGCAGATAATACGTGACAGAGGTTTGTTGACGTTAAAAGATACATTATGTTCTAAACTACATCCGTAACACTGTGCCAGAGCATTGTGGTGGAACAATGCTCTTCTTTCTTTCTTTCAGGCATACATTTGTTGGTCTGCCAAATGTACCTCCGTCGCATTAAGTCACTGGCCTTTCTGAGTGAGGCTGCCTTTGGAGAGCAGCCAATTTGAACAGATGATGTCATTAGTTATTGTCCGGTGCAGTGTCCTTGGCCTTTTTGTGAAAAGACTGCTGACCAGCTAATGTGGCACTGTGAGGTAATGTTGTTTTTTTTTTTGATCAATAGAAAGGGCAACACTGTGATGTAAAGGAGATATCACCAACTGGTGATGAGATTCTACCAGTAACCCTATCTGCACCAGCAGGACACCAGCGCCCTGCTCACTGTTTAAGTGAGTCTGACAAGTGTAAATAAATTCAGCCTTGTACCTTACAGTCAGTCAAAGCTCTGGTCCATATGAGCAAAATGAGCTATCATGTTCTCGGCAGTCCACATTTACACAATAAAATTTGGCTCTAGCCCATAGTCCTTACTTGGGCAAGAGGCTTCAATGAATAGCTGCCTGTGTTATTTTTTGGATATGATGCTTTAGTAAACTCTCCACATTCCAGGTTTTGACCCTTGACCCCCATGAAGTCAGAAAGGTTAGGGACAACTTGAGAAAAACCTAAGCAAAGACTACTTTAACTTACAACAAAAATCTCACAGATTTCACCAATAAATTGGATTACTGAAAAGTTCTAGGCCTGAAGTTCTATGTTTGTTTGTTTGTATATATATATATATATATATATATATATATATATATATATATATATACACACACACACACACACACACACACACATCATAAATTTGAATACAATACATCTTAATCTTCAAATTGTGCAAAGATAACAAGAGACTTTGACAGTCAGATAAATGCAAGTAGCAAAAGAAATGCTTTGCAAAGAAATGCTAAGCCATGTACAGTATAAACAAACTAATGATGTAAATAGCACCTCACTGCACCACACAACACCCCAACACACATACTTTATGATTTAGGAGAAGACAGATGTAATTAAAAGGATGGATACGACTGGGAACCTCCTCTTTTCTCTCCCTTTATGTGACCACTCATTGCTAGTTGGCTTGCGTCAAAACAGTACATGTTTCCTGCAGATAACAAGGCGAGCTCTCCTCCTGGGAGGCAACCCAGACTGCCCACAGAGGCACATGTAATACAGACCAGAAAGAATTATTATTGTTATTTTTTTTTAGTTCAGCTGCTTTCAACAAACAGTGGTCGTTAAAATCCCAACTTAACTCCTTTGGGATGTTCAGTGTTATAAAAGCACACACACAGGTGCTGTTTCATATTGAAGTTATTCTTGTGTGCTTGATATACGTTACGCCAGTCATGGTTTGTCAGTCAGTCAATAATAAAGCTAAAATATGAACAATTACCTAATACCAGTGTATATATAATGTAAATTTTCAGTTATGACACAGGCCTTTGCAGGTTAAGTCATTTTTACTATTTTAAAATAGGTTATATATTACAACCAGGCTGCATGGCTTGTTTTGAGTGTTTGAGTAAACAACAAGTGTTTGTTTATTGCTTCAAGAGGACAGATTGCAGGAGACAATAATAGATAAGAGTTAGCGGAATACATTTTCCTTCTGGAAATGAGAAACTATGGCTTTTGTACTTTGTGGAAGTTGGAAGATGTCTGACAACCAAGACAACACTCAAAGTGAGCGAGTCAGTCAGCTAGAGTCCACTTTTAAACAGAGATAAAATCTAATCGACTCTTGGCAATACTGGTTTACTGTGGTAAGATACTGAGCAACCTCCAATCTGATGGGCCATTTTGAGTTGCTTAAATATTTTAGTTATTCATTTATTTAAGTATTTGTAATACTAGTGTAGAATAAGAAAACTTTGATGCTAATTTGATTACACTTACTGCTGGGCTCTGAATATAGATTATTTTTGCATGACAGTAATCCTTGCAATCATTAATTTAATAAAACCAAAGGTGAAAAGGTGAAATCTTTATCATATTGTTGACCAATGCAATGACCTTTGTTCTATGGATAATTTAATCAGATAAAAAAGTCCACTAACTAACTTTGTTAGTTTTAAATTATTTTTTAATCTGAATCATTACTTTGGACAACACAAAATGTCTCACATTACGATCAGATCATCAAGATATGATACCACTAAAAGTCAATAAATGCTTATATATATATATATATCCATCCCTAGTATATACTGTGCATGTAGAAATAAATCTAAGCACTGCATAAGAGAGAGAGAGGGCTACTGATGACTATAGGTAATATACTCATTTTATACTTACATGCATGTCACAATTGTATACTGAGGATATAATACATTTTAAAGTCAGTTAAGTCTAATCTTACCTGACAAAACACTGACCCATTAACCATATGACGTTTGACACACGCAGTGCTGGTACAACAATGCCATTAAAGGCTGATATAGATGATGAAGGTGAACAATTATCTTACTCTTTCAAGTCTATTTCTCTGTTGTCATCTTCCAACTCGTGTCCATAGAAGACAATCCTCTTCCAGCCACACTCTGTCTTTGTCCAGCTCCAGCCTGGTGACCTCCAGTCTTGGCCCAAGAAAGGCATTTTAGCAAATGTCCGGCAGAGAGCAGTGAGCAGAGAGGGTCGCTTCCACTCCAAACACCTGGGGGGTCAACAAGATGCAGGATTTAACTCTGTGCTCTGGGTTCTTTGGAAGAAAAGAAAGGATAGGATAGGAAACGGAATACCTAAAGGAGAACTTATAGTCAACTTAATGCTTAATGTTGACACTTAACTAACATTTTTCAAAAATTCTGATAAAAAAATTCACATCTTGAAATTAAAGTTAAGTCAAAAATCTGGTCGCTCAGACTGGATCAGTGAAATTCAGACATCAAAATTTAAGATTAAAACTTGACCATCACAGCTACTTAGGATGAATCAGTCAGACCTCTTCCTCATGTGAGTCATCTGAGAAGGAGAAGTTCACATGAGCCACTGCAAACCTAGGACACTAAATTTGTGAACACTTTTTTGAAACTCCACCAGCTGAAATGACTCTCTGGACATTTAAATTCAGATTTTCAAAGCTATAGTGAGATTTCAATTTTAACAGTGTTTAGGATCTGTTATACTAAGGGAGTGGGAAATGTATTTATTATGGCCTTTTTTGCTTCCATAGTCTGCAGCCTACAACTACATGTTAATATCAGCTTTCTCTGACAACTTCCAAATAAAAAAAAGAGGAGCATTATATTTATTAACGTTGTCTATTTTGATCCTGTTTTTGCGACATTACGGTAGACACTGCGATGCAAAATGGCATACTGAGATAAACTGCTTTAATAACACACCTGACAACGACTATGGCGCATTTATCTTGCGCATTTGAAAAAATAACAGCGTTAGCAAACGTCGTTTTAACGCTTAACAGTAAAAAATGAATATAAGACAAGCTGTCAGTCGGTTCAACACATATAATCACGACAGGAAATACATAAAGCATACCAACACTCTATAACAGAGTTGTGAATTTGCACAAAACGGCTAAACAAACCTTAAGCGACTCGTTTGTTGCACGGTTCTCCTCTGCCTCTGTTTCTTGTCTCCGCCTGCCCTGCTGGAAATATTGACGGAAGTAAACACAGAGCGGACACTGGAGTTCGTCTGCGCCCCCTGCTGCTCTTTGATAGGACAAAACGTCAGTATTTATCTTGTTGCTACCCAGAGTCGCATCACTGATTGGCTCACCCGGCTGTCAATCACGTTCTTTTTTTATCCCATCTGTTTTGATGGGGGTTTCTTCTACACGTGACAGAGGTCTGCGCACATGCACTTATGTTTTGATTTTGAGCTGGCGGATGGGAACGGGGGGCAGGACGGTGGGGGCCCTTTCTATGTGGAGTTTGCATGTTCTCCCCGTGTCTACGTGGGTTCTCTCTGTGTGCTCCGACTTCCTCCCACCGTCCAAAGACATGCAGACTAGGTTGATTGGTGACCCTAAATTGTCCTTAAGTGTGAGTGTGACTGGTTGTTTGTCTATGTGTGGCCCTGCAATGGATGCCTGTCCAGGTTGTACCCCGCCTTTCACCCAATGTCAACTGGGATTGGTTCCAGCCCCCCCCCCCCGCGACCCTGTATGCAGGATAAGTGGTTGACGATGGATGGGAACGGGACCACCGGGCATTTGTATGAGTGTTGATGTTGTTGTTAAGGAACATTTCCAAAACACATATTTTTAAAGTGCTATATTAATTATTATTTTATTAAACAGAAAACTCAGGTTCAGACCTCATTGTTAATGGTATTAGTTTTAGAAGTTGTGGTAGTGGTTTAGTATTAGTATTACTCTGATGTGAGAATTAGGGTTAGCTACCATATTTCTGTTTAATCATCATTATTTCAACCACTTATACTGTAGTGTTGTTGATTGGGGAAGTCTAAGTCAAATCTTAAATCATTTAAAGTCCAAGTCAAGTCTCAAGACTGTTGAAGAAGGAAAGTTGCTCACCTTAAATCTGAGTTTAAGATGGTGTATAAACAGAATTTTGTCAACTCCATCACAACTAGTTTTGAAGCCATTCGTGCTCCAACTTACTCAAGTGTGATGTGCAAACATAAAAGGCTACATAAAATACACAAAGGCTGGACTTTCACGGAAGAAGGAGACGTCTTGTATCTAGTAGTTCAACTTTTGATTGGAAAACTATTTGTATATTCATACATTCTTGATTTTATAATGAGCGAGAAGAGGTAGATGTCACTTTCACAAGTTTTTAAAGAATTGATTGAAATAATAGTGTAAAAACTGTATTAGACAGTCAAGTCAGTCAAGACTCAGCAGTCAAGTCCAAGTCAAATCTTGAGTCCTAATTTTCTTAATGTAAATCACACATAAGTAAAGAGTCTCAAGTCTATAGCTAAGGTATTTCTGAATTTTTATCGGTGACATGACAGAAAAGGTCTGAATTGCTGTTGCCATTAGATAGGCTATATTTATGTTTTGTAGAGCAGCAGCATTACAAATCAAGCATCTATCCAGATTGGTTTATGTGGGGTAATTGTTCCTCTGGGCATTGTTAGTATATGTGATCACAGTGCTGACAGAGGTTTAGTCTGACTGGCCTGGTGACATAGTTGCTTAGCTTTTAACACTACACATCACATTAGGTTCAGTCTTGTTGTTTGATACTGCCCCCTTTAGGCTACATACAGTAAGTTCAAAAGATTTAAAATCACTATGAACAGTGCTACCATAGGCCTGATATACATACAATATTAATTAAAAAAATGGTGTTATATCTATATAGATTTGTATTCCTCTTAATTTGATCAGTTGAATAAGTTAACCAACATTGTATTCGCACCTTGGATTAGACCTCCCGAAACATACTTTCACTGAATAAAGGCAACAATTTCATCCCTATTCAGTCATTGTCCGGTTAGAATCTGTTAACGTGCACCTGGCCTAAGAGATGTGCACACAACTTGTAACAATGAATACATTTAAGAAACAATTTGCGAGTAAGAAAAATAATTAACAACTTTATTTCTAGCAGTTTTCCAAATTTACAGTATAAAACAACACAGACAACGGTAGTGGTAGCTTGAACCTGGTTTGGGTAAAGGGGTGAAGTGATACTGCAGTAATATTTCAGCCTATATGGTGAAATTGACTGAGATCACAGTAACACTTTACACAATAAAAATCCCAAATAAAAGAAGGCTTACAAGCCTGCAGTCAGCAATCACACATTGTACACTGAATCATCAGCTGAATATTAAGAAGTAATTTTTAATTCTGGGAACAAACAAGTGGAAAGAGCAGGACATGACTTGCCATCATATGAAAAATTCAGTCAGGCCTCTGGAGAGAAATGTGTGTTGACAACATGGGTATACCTGAGTGATGTGTATCTACTCACATATGCTGTGCAGAGACATTGTTTTTACAAGAGAAAAACAGAGTGGGTGGTTATCCCGTTTAACACATTGAGTCCACAATTGGCTAAAAGACAGAAAGGGGAAAAAAGTGGTGAAGAGACAAAGCAGACAGAGATTGGGAGAAAAGTGGAGATACAGTTACAACAGGTCACTGGACTTAAGCCTATCAGATTATTAAGTACATTCCTCTCACACAGTACTCAGGGACAAGCTGATTCTTTGGCTGGAAAATAACTACATCCTGCACACATCCTGTGCACAAGTTTTTCTGTCCAGCGGCAGTTAGATTTAATGATTTTTATTACTGTCAACAAGAAACACTCGTCTACGATAACATGGAAGGAGCAGACCTGTCTTACTGACACTCTTTACTTTTGTAACTGTGGTGTGTGTGTGGAAAGGAATTTACACATTTCACATCTCCAGATGAAAGGTGTACATGAAATGTGGGCAGGGATACACTCATTGGATTATGAACTTATAGGCAGATTGGATAAATGATTATTTAAGGGCACGTTCATGCTTATGGTGGTCTGAATGCCTTCCTGAGGAACTTCATATTTGAGTAGCATAACATGAGCAATATCACTGCTCCTAAAATTTTAATCTTGATATGCGTGTCGTTATTTGTGTCTTCAAGTGTGCACCCATGCACACAGTTTTGACATTTAACACAGGTATTAGGAATTCTAAATTGCAGCTCTGTGAAAAATCTGTGTAGAACGTCAGCAAATAAACCTGCTAGTAACATTTACATTTAGCTGACACTTTTACCCAAAGCGACTTACAATTGCTATACATGTCAGAGGTTGCACGCCTCTGGAGCAACAAGGGGTTAAGTGTCTTGCTCAGGGACACAATGGTGGATGGGTCACAGTGGGGAATTAAACCTGGGTCTCTCACACCAAAGGCATATGTATTATCCATTGCGCCATCACCAATGTTTGAAAAATAAGTTTTTGTGTTCCTGTGTGCGTGTGAGGTGGGGCTTTCTGTGGCAGGACAGAGAACAGCTAAGCTTTATGCAAGTTTGAACAGATGCAAAAATGCATTTTTTTGCTGAAATTCGCACACAGTATGCATAGAAACCAAAAGAAAACGGATATAGGCACATAGACACACAAACACACAGTCACAACACACAGTCACATAAAGTCCAGTGGCGTTGTAGTTGATTTATGGTCTGCGATACAATAAATGGGTAAAACGTATCAGTTGTAGGTATATGGCCTCTATAGAGAAAAGAAGGAGTTATCTCAATCAAGGTCTCTTAACTTTTTCCCAGTCTCTGTGGCGTTTTTGCAACTGTACAGCCATTTGATAATCCTTGCATTACGTTCAATAACAGACGTCCCCTGATGTATCTTTTCATGTAACTCACGATCTTGTAGTCCATCGCTGTCACCACTGTTCCTGGAGAAGCCATCGTCTGATGTCGAGACGCTGACACTACGGATGTTTATTGGAATTTCATCTGAGCTTGCAGAGAAGTTCTCCTTCCCCAAAGACTCAATAACCTCACTGTCCAGCCCACAGTACTTGAAGAAAACATCAAAGTCCGCAAAGCTTTTGGAGTACCTGGAGCTGATGTCAGAGTGAGAACGACTGACCCCTTTGCCAGGCCTCCTTTCACACTCAGGGACCGCCAGAAGACCAGCAGATTTGTTCACACCAGCTGTCACCTTTCTCCCAGAACCCCTGTTATCTGTTTTGTGTTGTCCTTCTACTCCGTTCATCCTCCTCTCTGATTTAGAGGTAACTTCAAGTGAGCTACATTCCTTTACTGTTCCCTCAAGTGTGGTGTTTTCCCCCTCATACTCTTTATCTGCTGCCTCAGGTAACGGAACATTTCTGTGCACAGAGCCGAGAAGCAACTTACGGGTTATATTGTGTTTCCGGTCATTTGTTGACAGCAACTCACATTTTTGTCTGTAAAGCAGAAGAGAGTCTCGTCGTTTTTTGGAGCTGGACTGACGTATCTGCCCCGGTGAGCAGATTTGTGCTCCACGTGTAGCCTCTGTTGAGTTACTCCCCATGACAAGATTTCCACAACGGTTTGAGCTCTGGTTAGAAGACCCATTGCTACTCACAGAGGCTGGTCCAATACTGATCACAGGCTCCTGAGCCGAGTTGACCACCTGTTGGCTTTTGACATACTGTAGTTTGCTTGCAGCGAGCCTCTCCACAGCAGTCATGCGTCCTTTTTTCTCATTCTCCAGTTCCATTTGCTTTCGAAGGTATTCTGGACCCTTCCCCAGGATTTTAGTGGTCTCACTGGTTGCCTCCATTGTGGTTTGAATGAACAATCAAATCAGTTGTTCCAAAGAGTGGGTAATCCTTTAGCTTACGGTCTCTTCAGCGTTAGAAGTAAAAAATTCCATTCAAGTCCGTTCTTTGCCTGGGCACGTATCACAACAGGAGACTTCACATTACTCCACCCATTCTGTGCTAGGCTAGTTTTAACCAAACACAAGCCCGTTCAAAGTACACCTGATACATCACAGGGTTTTTTTTCTCGTCTCATGGTGCAAATGCGAGCCCTTTTCCTTGTTGCTCAACACAGGAAAAAATATTACATTATCTCCTACCAAGAAAACTAGCTTCCCTATTTACAAACTAGTCTCCGCTATCTTTTATCGACTCATTTATCAGAGACACTGACTCATCAAATAGGATTGGTGTTCATATTGTGCAATAAATGTTTACCCGAGCCTAATCATGCTGTCTCCCATGGGGATTTTTAAGAGAAGGTAGGTGGTAATTATTATGTGTCAAAGCCATCAAAGCAATATTGTGTAACACTCAAAGAGAAAAGTTTATGGGTTATTGTAAGAGTTTGTTTTGTATTTTGCAGTGTAACTATATCTTACTGAATGACTCCACCAGCGGTTTGAAGACTTGCGCCAGGTCAATTTAGGATGATTACGTGTTGTTTTAAATCAATCCCCCTAGCTCGTCAAAAAACCTGACATTAACTTTATTTTGAGGTTTTATTGGATCTGAAAAGTTACACCCTTAAAACACTCAGAAAACACCACAGACCACTAATTTGACAGGGCAAATTGATGAAACCATAAAACTTTTTTATTTTATTTCAACAGTCCAGTCTCCAGTTTACTGGTTTTCAACAAACAGATGTTCATTAAAGCCCAGTTACCAGTGATAAAGGAAAGCTAGACCAGCTGACAACAGATATGCAGACAATTAGTCAAATAAAAAACATTGGCAACAACCAAACCCTCCACTCCACTTCTATTAATGGGTTTTCTAATATGTTCTCGCTGTATCTTTCAGAGGACATGGGTAGATGTAAATGAGTGCTTAGACAAGAGAGAAGGAAATCAGCATGAGTGTGAATGTATGCAACCTTTGTTGGCTTGTGATAGCTGTAAGATTAAGGTTTGAATGCAATAGATTAAATTAAAGGTGAAAAAATCCCATCAAAAATAAGTAGGTTCTCTACACCCTTGTGTTATTGGAAACATTGAATCAACTAGAAACATCTGTGTATAAAATGAACCTTAAAGATACCAGATCTACTTGTTCAAAAGGCAGAGGGCAGCACTAGAACACATAGAAGGAGGGTCATTAGAATACAGTTTTGCCTATGGCTTAATACTTTATTTTTTTAAGAGCAAACACTACACATCCAGCATCAAAGAGGAGTCCACTCTTATCCCGCTTGTTAGCTTAAAGGCCAACAGAAACCAATGACTTAAAGGCATTTTTATTAATTATTTCAAATAATTTAAGCATTCTCATATTTTCCGGTGTTTGCAAACAATTATCATACCACATCTGTTTTTCGTGTTGATTGCATTTATTCATCAGTTTGATTTCTTTTCATTGGCTGCCCTAAAATCAGAATGAATGGTTCACTTGAGGATTCTGCAGTGTTGTGTCGTGTCATTATTTATTAATCATACAATTACATTTTTTTTTTATATTGTTATTTTTTTAGATAGTCATTCTTGACATATCACACCTTTTAACCATCACTATGACAGAATATTTAAATGTATTGCAGATGAAGAATCTTCCATATTTATTTCTTGCAACAAAGAAGAAAATAACTTAGGCAGTGACAAGTGAAAGTGGTACTGAAAGAGCCCACTCTCGGAAAGCAAACAAAGCCATAAGATCCGGCTTCCTTCAGAGAGCCATAACTCCCATCATTGTGACAGACCCACACTGCTATCCCTAGAGGCATGTTGCTTACATCTCTAATAAAAAGGAAAAATAAGCATCTGAAAATGATCATTTTCATAAATGACTGTCTTTCTGTTGCACAGTAATCACCAGTTTGTCTTGGCTGGACTTCATGTGCAAACCAAATATATAATAAGCAATAAATGTTTATAATATACAGCATGTGTTTAACACACAGATGCACGCGTGCATGTACACACACACACACACACACACACACACACACACACACACCTCCCAAAGACTCTTATGTCACCTTTTTTAAAATGTTAGAGTTGAAACTAAGTGCAGTGGCCGTGTTTACAATCATTTAGCATGTTGTCTGATTGATTAGTGAAACCTGTTTAATTGGAAAAAAGAGAGAAGGAGCAGACTCGCAGAAAGGATGCAGGGGAACAATGAAAACATGAACACTGACACCATTAGTCACTTCTCCCCTGAGCCCTGTCACTTTTATTTTATTCTAAACTTACAGTGCCAGTTGGATAAACATAATCTACACTTTAATGTGACACTGCATCATCTGCTAATTGTGTTTTTATTGAGTCATTCACAATAATTATCACCCATCCTTGAGACGTGAATGAAACTGGTCGACTCAATTAAAAACGCTGTGCAAATTATAAGACATAATTGCTGCAGGCATCTTTTGCTTGCAGTTATTGTTTCAGTGTTATGTAAAGTAACTCATAATAGGTAATTATGCATGCAGGGCTAATTACCAGGAATATAAAGTCACCTCCCACTCAATTAGTCAGTGTCTATCACAAGCTCATTTTACTGTATTTCAGAAAACAACTGTTTTTGGAGGATTGCTGCAGTAGTGCTCATTCATGGTAAGGTTTTAATTTCCTTTTACTTACATGTTTGTAGTCAGATAGTCTGGTGTAGTCAGCACTAGATAATCCTTTCTCAAACTCAAAACAGATCCAAACTGATTTTTTTTTAAGTATTTCATTGTGAAATACAATAAATTTTTTTCACCATGTTCATATTGAAGTGATTAAAAAGACTCACTATAGAATGAAATAATGCAACACACCAGGGATCATAACCACACTTTGAAAGTAATGAGTGCATACATGAAGAAACAAATGTTTTGTGAGTCTTTATTTGACTGGCGAACTCGTTAAGTCTTAAATTCAATTATAAATAGAAATGAAATCCTACATCTCATATTATGAAGTTATCAAGAGTTGGAACTGGAATCAGCAAAGAATCTCTTGGATCAGCCTGACAAAACAAAGGCCTGAATTTTATAATTGTCGGCTTACCTAATGTATATCTATTCCCTGGGCAATAATATTCCTAATCTTTAAGCCCTAATCATTGCCTTGCATAAAAAGTGGTGTTGTTGCTAACACCCTGCTTATTCCTCCATTCACATCTGCACAACCAATCACATCCTATTCTCTTGGCAGCTGCAGTTACCTACCACACATGGTCAGACTGCAATAACAGGAAAAAAATGCTAAACAACACAAAAAAACCCAACAACAACACACTAATAGCATTAATAACAGGCACAGATTGCCTGACAACTCTGTGGATATATAGTAACATCAAATGGAACTGTTCCCCACAGCCAGCTCTGTAGAAGAACATCTGTAATGTGCATCTCTTGAATCCATCATAATGTGGAGCAGATGAAAAGCAAACCAGGGAAATGGTTGTGACTGACTACGTTAAATCAACAAAAAAAAAGAAATTTTCAGCCTACCATGTTTCTTCCCTAAGACAAATATATTATGAAAATATATGCACTCAATAGGACTATGTGACAAATTATGTACTTTCACTTTTTATCATTCTTTGAAAAATGAACAATTATGCACAATAGCTGCAATATCAATATTTTATTTATATATTATATTTCCTAACACCAAACGAGAGAGTGTAAGTTTGTACATATGTGAGGTTTTGACCATAATTGAGGTTTGTGCTATAGTATGCACAATAAAGGTGGAGGCTGATTGTGCTAAGGACTGAACATTGTAGTTGGTTTCAGTTGAAGGAAATACATTCCTCTGTGGCATCTGTCTGAAAAAAGTATTGATAACTTTCTACCGCTTTCTCATGAAATATTCCTGTGTTTTCAGGTGGTGTCATATTAACATTCTATTAAAAAAATATTTTTTTCCTTGTTTTCTAGACTTCAGTGATCGCCATCTTGTGGCATTTGTTTTTTCCTTTCTACTTGCCGACCAGCAGGTGATAGTGATTTGAGTTGATTACTGTGTCTACAAGAAATGCCTGTTTTCTCTCTCTTAACACTTGCCTGAGGAAGATCTTGGAGAGTCAAACGTTGCCTTGACAGGAGAATTAAACTATTTATTTGGAGCTTAACAGTGTGCATACCATTCTCCTCTGTGCCCTGCAATAACGCTATATGCTAATTTGATGTGGAACATTTTTCCAAGATTAAGTTAATACTCTCAGAACAGTTAAGACAGCCATTAAAAACATTGAAACCATTCTTTGCCAAACAGCTTGGCTTATTTTTATAGTGCTGCTTTTTTTCATACAACATATTTATGGAAAACAACACAGCGATTATATACCATATTCTGATTAAATGGAGTTTCCTTTTATCCTTTTTTGACTGTTTTGGGGAAAAAACATTCAGTAAATGTAACAGTTTCATCTGACATGTATGTTTGATGTAATAGTGAGCCAGGAGAACTGATTAATGTAGTTCATTACATACCTTGATACTTTCCTCTTTTCCTTAAGACTGTAGTGTTGTCCAGCTGCGTGTCCATCCGATCGGAAAGGCATTAAAAGCTCCCTGTACAAAAATCCACAGATGTTTTAAGTAATATGTAGACAGATAAATGCAGGATACAACTACCTAAGATCCTAGAAAACCTACAGCTGGCTTTTTCCAGGAAGAACTACCCAGTGAAGTACACCTGAGTTCTAAATTAAGTCGGTGTCTCCCATGCCCACATTTATGTCTGGGCTTAGGTATTTCTTTGAGTTCAGCCGGTAGACTTACTCATCCAGAACCTTTTGTTTTACTTGTTTGAAGTGAGAAAATGTAATTACATATTACCATATACATCTGTATCTTATTGTTAAAGGTGAATCATAAAGAATCATTTAAACCTCTGTCAATGAAACACTGAAGGTAATTTCAAAAAGCAACGTGTTTCTCCAAAATGAATTTTTCTGCTTTAATGAACATCTCTCCGCAATCTACTTGTCCTGTCATCTCTTCTTCATTGCTGCTAAGAAAAGATACTTCCCATCAGTGGCGCCGCCAGAAACTTTGGGATCCATGACAAAAAATCTAATTGGGCCCCCTCTGCGCAGCTGTTGTCACCACATCTCTAGGACCTAACTGTCCCATCAAAAGCTTTACATAACTCTAATTAAAGGCTTTCAACTGTCTTGTTTCTTGTAGGTCAATACTAGTACTAGCACAATATTTACTGCTGGTGATTTGTACATGCAAGTCTGCATACAGTATGCAGTTATTTTTATTATTTGATGCAAGATTAAAAGCCACCATAAAAATGTCCTTAAGGCAATCTTTTACAGTCTCAATGTATTTTTATAGTAAAATTAATTATCTATAGATGTCATTTAACGGCCATAATAAAATCTAAATGAATGTATCAAAGAGGATTATTTTAATATCATCTGTAAATTACGTGCAGGTTGAGGTAAGCTACTCACTGTTTCCAACTGTCCAGCATCCAGTACAGACAGGAGGTTGTTTTTATTTTATTTCATAATGATCATTATGTGAGAAAATAATTTGTGTTTGAATTGTTGTCATTAATAAATATTTCATTTTGTTTTTGTTATGGTAAAAAGAGCAAGAAAGACAGAAATCCCCTCAGACTCCCTGGAATGATGCTAACTGGCATGTCATTAACACAGTGTTGCTCACCTTCTTCACTGGGACAGGGACGCTAGCGGTTATGAGGAGACTGGGGTGCTGCCGACTCATCTGTTGTTAGTCTGCTAAAGGGACAGGGACAATGATTTACTATGAATATTTTGCTAAACGTTTCCCTGCACTGATTAAATGTTGGTGAAATGTAGGCTAACGCCAGTCTGTAGCTAGCTAGCTTATTTCACTGTGGACATTAAGCCAACAGGTTAACACCACTCACAGACTAAAGGCTGGCCACTTTTCTTGGTGAAAAACTGGGTTACACATTGACATCCTTTCCTTCGTCTTTCCTCTCTCTCTTTTCTCTCTTTCTCCTTTTGAAACCAGATTTTGGTTTACTAGGCAACATTGTGATGTCTGTATTTCTGGCGCATCTACTAACTGCAACTAAACTCCGTCACTGATAAGGTGCGCATAGGTAGGACCAAACCATTTCATGCAGATACAGGGGGGTGGTCGGTCAATATGGATGTTTAGTTTTTGGTCAATGGGGATATTTAACTTCTATTGCCAAAAACAAAGAGATTAGTAATTTTATTATTATATTTAAAATACTCAATGATGATGGTTTATATAAATATAATTTGATATTAGATTTTACCTATTTTTTGGAATTGTCCTAACTTTTCCCCCCTACATGGCGCCCCTGCTTCTCATCACTGGCTAATAAGAAGATCCAGGCTAAGTAATGAGTTAATTAGTAACAGGAAGTAAACAAAGAGAAACAGGTACAGCTGCTTACACAGTTTGGTGTCATATCTATGTTGATCTGCTCTGACTACGTGACAAAGCATTGTCTTTGATTTGGCTTCCAGTTTCATTCAAGGGTTTGTCTGTGACCCTTATGATTTGTAGCTGAGCATCACTAGGATGGCTGACTTAATGTATGTACTTTATGCATGTATGTGTTTCGTTGGTAACTGTATCATATACATCATAAACAATGGCATGACAAATGGGGCATATGCTGTATATAACAGTTACACAGTACAGAAAGATGATCATGAGTTGTGTATTTCACACCATGACTGAGCAAAGCGTTACCCAGTATATGATAATTTAATCTTCTTGTAGTCCAGGGTGACCCCAAGCCCAGATTTACCGATGTTGTTGTACATAAAAAGAATGGGTTTCACTAAACATGACGTGATAATGAATCAACTATAGTCAGATTGTGTCTGTAATTCGAGGGATCTGAGAACTTCTGAGAAATAAAATGATAAAGTTCTCCCTGTAACTCTAAACATTTATTACCCTACTTCACATCTTGGATTGACTATTGCAATAAAATAATAGTGAGTGTTACAGGCTAGTGAGCCAGTTTTGCATATGTTTCAAATCATCACAAAATGGTACTTTCCTGTCCAGCAAAACATGAATGTACTATTTACTGGATACCAAAGATTGATCAAGAACAAGTCATCGTAATAAGAATGAACCTGTCGTCTGCAAATATTATCAGCAAAACAGTAAAAAAGACAGAATGGACTTTCTAAGTGTTACAGTATATTATTATATAAGTGATATTTTTTGATTACTGTTACTGATGCATTTATTTGTAAGCAGCATTTTGCTGTTGTTGTTGGTCAATGTTTTTAGTTCTAGCTACACAAATGCATCATATTTTACAAAAATGAAAATGACCATTAATGCTAAATGTGAAAATTAATTCACACGATAATTAGTAGTGAAAAAGTGTAGCAAAGTGAAATGTAGTAGAGAAAGCAGCAGACAATGGAAATAAACAGTACAATACTTAAGTAAATGTACTTAGTTTAACTTTCCACCTCTGTGAACTACAAAATAAGTAGGCCAATAAAAGTTTGATTGGTAAAAGAGGACCTAATAATTGTAACAAGGATAAATATTTTGAGTTTTACACATTTCTCCATAACTTATGGGATGTCTCTAAACTTAAAGAAATGTGAGATTTTAGGACTTAAAAACAATGATAATCACAACTGTAGCATTTTCAGGCTTCTTCTCGTTCAGGCGCTAGATGGCCACCACCTGGTTGCGGCGTCACACAGGACCCTTAACTTACAACAACATGGCGGCCAGTAGTACAAAGTCGGTTTTGTTCGTTTGCTTGGGTAAGAGCCGTTTAAATTAAAAGCCTAAAAGCACAGATTGAGTGTGGCCGTGTAAAACAAACATCGCACACGACCAGTGTACTAACGTTACTGTGAAGCATTTTAGAGGTTTATTTAGGCGCTGTTATTTACCCAAGAGAGCCGAGTTAGCTGACGTGTTTCAGTTGAAGTGTTTCAGCTAACTAAGTCATCTGTTAAATGAATGAGTGCGATGCTGTGAACTCTGTCATATAACGTTAAACTTTTCACTAGAGCTACTTCACTTATGCATCAGTGTGTTCTGTAGAAACGCCGAGTATTGTTACTTTGACAGTAGCGACGAGTTTTGGTGACAGCTTCTCGGAAATGTGTCAGTTCATGACATCGGTGCTCTGTTATGACCTCTTGCTTATCATCAGCAAAGTGCTCTGTATTTGTTATTATGGACCCGCATTTGGACACAGATAATGTATCTTTTGCACTGTGTTAATTGTATCATGCTATTTTGTTGTCAGATGTAGTGTTAGTTGGGTACTTGTTTTTTCTTTAATTCCTGGTTTTTAAGTTTTTGTCGTGGCGTCTCTGGCTTTGAACAGGGAATATTTGCAGATCCCCCATCGCTGAAGCAGTCTTCAGGAAGATGGCAACTGATGCTGGGGTTGTTGATAAGGTAATGTTTATTATTAATTCATTATTACATTGTACGTTTATAACACAGGTCATTAATTGCATTGGCCCACTATTACATCTGATGATGGAATTGTTTTTTTTTTTTTTATACTTACAAAGAGAGCTTTTCCTGAGGGAATGTCATTTAGCACAATTCTCAAGTTAGCAGAACAGAAACAGAAAGAAAGTATTAAGCACATAGAGGCACTCAAATGACCAAACCAGTTTAACTACATTAGTTACAAATACTATGCACTGTAGGGGAGACCGGTTATGGTTGTAACACTTTTTGCTTCAGCAACTACAACTACTTTTATACAAAGTACCCACATTTGTTTACTCCAAATGGCACCAATTCAGTCCTCTAAAAGAAAATTGATGTCAAATACATGTTGTTCCTTTGTTACAACCTACCCCACTACTGGCATAGGTTGTAACAGTTAGACAAAAGAAGCAAAAATGGATGCCACACCATATGATATGCTTAAAAAACAGGTATAGTGAAATAAAATAACAATGTTTCTCTCTCTCTCTCTTTAACTAAACTACTGTGTGTGTGTGTCAGTGTGTTTAAATTCTTAATCAGAGTCACAGTCAGTGCTTGAAGTGGGCCGGTGCTCACCAGTACACAGTATCAGCACTTCTACATTTTACTCTTTTGTGTACCAGGACTTTTTCTTGGGCACCAGCACTTTTCACAAGCTTCCGGTATTCTTTTCTGCCCTCTCCACTTATGGAGACTGAGTAGGGAAAAGATTGGGTGCTGATACACACGCCAACATGTGAATGGGGAGTACTGGCAACACTTTAAGAACAGGTCAAAGTGTTGACAAATGATTGCTGGTAACCCTGGAGTGCAGGCTTGGTGTAGACCCATAGACTCCATAGGAAACTCTAAATTTTTAAATTCAAGAAAGTCCTTATAGGGGATTGTTGTGACTAGGGATGGGGACTGTTAATTTTTATTGATACCCTTATTGAGACTGCTTAACGATCTTTACTATTTTTACTACTGCACGTGAAATATTCAATGTGCGAGAACGTTATATATTGAGATGACCTATCATTTGCAATAAATAAATATATATTGAAGGGTACATATTAACTGCCTGGTTGTTTTTAATTTAATATTTTAAATACAGCTAAATGTTGTTTCTAGAACAGCAACATTAATTTTCAGCAGCAAAGTAACTCAATAACTTTATGTGACATCACAAGTAGTGAGTGACGTTTAGAAAGAACAACATCAGTCTGTATCAGTCCCTCCTCCTCTCTCGCTGGCTGCAGGTAAGTTACCAGGTAGGAGGAGGAGCGTCTGGTGTTTCTCAGCCAGCAGCTGAGATTGTAAGACTACAGACCAGTCTGTGCTCCAGACAGACAGCTTTCTAGTTAGCTTGTTTTTAACATTTGGCTAATGCCAAGCTAGCGTTAGCATTGTTTGTATAAAACATACAGGATGAGATACTGAGGACAGAGATGATTAAATTAACCATTTCTACATGTTTAACGTTACATTACAGACAGGTGTATTGATAAAGTATTGTGTTTTTACTTGCGAAGGTTTTATTGCACGTACTTACAGTAACGAGCGTAGCTGTCATCAACTAACGTTACAGTAGTTTGGAGCTAACTTAACCCTCACCGTGACGTTATTCCACCGCGACGGCGCAGCCTCTCGCTCTGCTGCCGCTGTGTGAGTATGTGTGTGTATGTAGGAGCCGACAGAGAGCAAGCAGAGACCGCAGCCTGATGATTTTCTTATCCATTGCGTTTCAAATTAAATCAGATTTGATGCTCGAGACATAACGTTACATCATAGGACCCGCAAGTCACGATAGCAGTATCGATAAGCACGAACCTTTATTGATTTTCGGGTTTTGAGAAATTTTGGAACCGGGTCTCGATCCCCATCCCTAGTTGTGACACTTTTTATTGAAGTGTTACAACCCACCCCTGTCAGTCATTGTTTAGCTAGCTGTATTAGCATAGCGGTTTGAAATTAATTAAATAGGGAAAAATGCATCACACGTTGCCTAAGAAACGACAATTCAATCTAGTATAAGTCATACAATTTTATCTGCAATAGATACTAAACAAAATATAGTCCAGGTCAAAAAATTTACATTCTTACCTCAAAATAATTGTTTGTATATATTCTGAATGTACCTGTTTCCGGCCTTGCCAACTACTATGCCTGATCGGGGAGGCAGTAGGTAAACACTGAAATGATCTCATGACTCCTTTCTTACCTCTAATTGCTGGAATTGGTTTTGTTACAACTCTCCCCATGTTACAACCATACCCGGTCTTCCCTACTATTACATCCACTGATTATTGTTATTAAGTGGGAAATGAATACCTATTGGTGGCAGGTTAAACAAACCCTATCCATAGTAATTGAGTTGATAATCACAGGATACATTTAAAGATTTTTGGAGTGAAATAAGTCATCCATCCTTATCAGGCCCAACAATACATAACAATGAAACATTTGTCCTAAATTCCACCTGTTGAGTTTCACTTCTAATCCTGTAAAAGCTGTACCACCTACCACATGCCTGTACATGAGAGTATGAAGCATTCTTACCCTTTTATTGTTCCCCGTGCTCTGCTTTGCCTAGTGGAGGATAGACAGTGCCGCCACCTCCACCTATGAGCTAGGAAACCCTCCAGACTACCGCGGTCAAGCCTGTATGAAGAAACATGACGTGCCCATGAGGCATGTGGCCAGGCAGGTACGACCACCCACCTCTCCACCTAGTTAGCGCCCCCCTTTTTTTCTGTGTTGTTGCAGTGGATCATAGACAGTGGTGCCACATCCGACTGGAATATAGGCAGCTCACCGGATGCCCGCGGTCTGGCCTGCCTAAGGAGGCATGGCATTGAGACGAGTCACAGGGCCCGACAGGTACAACCAAATGTCCCGTGGCTCCTCTCACCCCATTTTTAGCTTCATTACACTGGCTCCCAGTATGTTTTAGAATTGACTTTAAAATTCTATTTATCACTTTTAAAGCTTTTCATGGCCTCTCGCCTTGTTATATTTCTGACCTTTTAGTCCCATACGCACCAGCACGACCTTGAGATCCTCGGGCAGAGGTCTGTTGTCTGTTCCAGAGTCTCGACTGAAAACTAAAGGGGACAGAGCGTTTGCTGTCAGGGCCCTGAGGCTCTGGAACAGCCTGCCCGAGGAAATCAGGTCGGCTGAGTCAGTGAACTCTTTTAAGTCCCTTCTTAAAACATACTTTTATAGGAGAGCTTTTCCCGATCTTATTTGACTTTATTTTATCCCTTTTATTTTATTGTATTTTACTAATTTTATATTAAATTTTCATGCTCTTATCTTTTTTTGTATTATTCTTTACACTTGTTAAAGCACTTTGTAACTTGTTTTTGAAAAGTGCTCTACAAATAAGGATTATTATTATTATTATTATTGATATTTGTGTTTATTAGTATAATGTTGGTAAGATGGTGCCTTCTAGACACCCAGGTGTTGCTGTTGCTCTGTGACTCAATGTATGACCAGCTTACTGGAGCTTTTTCTAGTTCAACACAGGCTCAAAAATTTTTTTCTAATGCCTGGAATGCCATGTTTAAAAACATGGGATGCCACAGACATAACAACAGAATTATTAATATATTTTAATTGTAAGAACACACACACCAGACAATTCAGCCAAGACTCATGACCACACATTTTCAGAGTGGCGGTTCTGGGGACTTCAACTCGCGTGATCAAACGTGACTTCAGAAATAAACGAACATGGAGGCAGACTAATTGTCAGCTAGTTGCACTTGTGTGTGCCATGTTCTGCAGAGAAAAACAAAAAAAAAGGATGAAACTGTGGATGAACTCGTGACTGTGAAGAGGACATCTGCAAGGTTTATACATTTTATAGTGCAAACAAATATACAACGTGTTGGTAACACTTCCTGGTTGGTTTACTCTCATTGGCTGTTGGGGCTTTTTTGTTCCATCGCTGTTCCATCACAGTACAGGAAATGATTCAAGTCTTCCTGATTTCGAATCGTACATACTAAAACATGTTTGATATTTGCGATACGGCCTCTGATCTAGTCGCTGACCTTGGTTTTATGTCTATACACTCTTCTCACTACATGATCATTTCGCCCGTTACTCTGTTTCAACCATGCCATAGATTGAGAACGCCACCGCAATTTTTGGGAGGGGCGAATTGGACCCAAAATCGGCCCAGTTATCTTCTAGTGTGGGACCAGAGTTTTACATGATTGCTCTGTCCACACAAGCTCTTCCTTTGCAAATGGTGGAATAGAAAATCTGTTTCAGTTTGTCAGTGCCAGATTTTTACAATGTAGCCCTGTGTTTCATTAATGATTAACTACTCCCTGCTTTAACACACCCGCATCATCACAAATTAAATGAAAACTAATTCAAACCCAGACTCTAGCTCTGGAAAAAATAACCCTGTAGAGGGACCAGGATTAGTTGTTAGTGTAATAAAATGAGTGTGCACACAATTTATTAACTTTTCTTCTTTACCTGCTAGAGAAAATTCAGTAAAATACCCTTACAGTGGGCACATATATTTACTGGTGTTACACTAATACCTTGGTTCCCAACCCTTTTAGCCTATGACGCCTTTAAAACAAAGCTTTGTTGTGAGTAGATTGTCTGAGTGTGGTGGCCTTTTCAGTTCGCCCCTACAATCATATGCTTTATAAAACGTCTGTCGCTTTGCACACAGCTTACACAATATAACATTTATATAAGATAGGTCTTTATAATGGCACATATGGTGAAAGAGATGAACTTATATTTGATATTAAAATGATAAGAACTGTAGAAATGCCCCTTTGAACAGTTATTCTTCACTCTTCTCTCAGTTACAGTTTGCAGCAGGTTTAGCTTAAACCTCAATTACAGTGACCTCTTGTGACAGTTAGCTGAACTCCGCAGGACGCATCAGCTGGTTCAGATTCTGAGGACACAACAATAGGGTTTAAGAGATAATGTGACTCAGGAAAGACGAGACTGGCAAGCTACTTATTTGTTTTTTTATATGTTTTTTTTTTTTTTTTTGTGTTGTTTGTGTTATATTGCTGCAGTAAGTTTAGTCCTGTCTAAGTTCCTTTCGTTTTTTTTGCCTCTAGTTTATGTGCTACTTGAGCTGTTTAAAATGTGCTTTTATTTCTAAGTGGCTATCTACTTTTTAGATTTATTGAACAATTTTAGGGACCTTTTTTCCCCAAATACATCAAGTAATGATGTTAATGAATAAGTTTTAAATTCAAGATGGCAGTTTTTACCATTGTACAGGTTTTCTGATATGGATTTTGAGACTATAGTCTTATTATCTTGGAAATATATTTTGTGTGTGTTTGGTTGTGAATCTGTTCACTAGGCCTGTGTCTATACTGCTGTGTATCATGATGGTGCCCTGTGTTGTGTATGAAATATCGATAGAGCCAATGTTTGTATCACCTCGCAGCATGTGTTTCAAATCTTGAAACAGGCCTGAAATTACACCAAGATGTTTGTCCATCTAGGGCCTTCAGGCTTTGCGCTGTGCTGACTTATCCTCAGCGTAACTCCTACTCCCCTATGCCCTAAAAACACTTTCTTTATGTTTCCCTGAGAGAACTTCACCCTGCGCTTGAGTTCTGCTGTCTTGTTGGTTTGTCTGTCTGCAAATCGTTCAGTCAGACACTCATCTAATCTCCTCAAAGTAGGGACGTGGAGGCTCAGTCCTTGGCTTAAACCCAGCCAAATCCACACAATGGGCTTTGACAAGCTTTTGCTCTTTCCTCTTTTCCTTTATCACCCTTTTCATTTCTCTCACTTACTTTTGCTCCCACCCTTTATTTTTTCTTCCCCTTACCCCCAATTTCGTTACTCAGTGAACTTTGCTGACCTTCTGTCGCTGCCAGTTTCCAAGTAGACTGGCCAAAAGGGAGATGGTATGGAGACAACGGTATCCCCACATAAACAAATGTGTTTGTTTAATTAAGCAAACATGCTCCGCAGTGAGCCATAAAAGCCTATGTGAAGTGTTTAATGCCTCATGAGAACTTGCGAACCAGTCATTAGATTTAAGAGAGCATAAATTTTTATTTCATACTCATCAATATGTTATCAGTAAGTCAACATTTAGATAAAATAAGTGTTGGCAATGTTTTAAACTATGATACAATCCAGACACAGCCTAAGGTTGCTCGGTGCAGGCTGTCATTTAAATGGTTATTGTATGTAATAGATTTTTTAAATTTAGCATTTTTAACTTTTAACTTAACACTTCTGTATATTATTGTTGTTGTTACATGCAGTAGTATGTAATATTATATTTTAAGGAAATATATGAAATCTAAATATGCTATAACACTTTACTTTCTAAGCAGAATAAAAACATTTAATAAATTGTTTATAACAAACTATGTATTTAAATGTATTTGTCAACAATTATAACTCCTATAACATTTAATATTATTTTAACTGCTTTGTCATTCATTATCTATTTACACACCAGCCTCCACTTATGAATGCTCACAGGGCCTGCAACCTATGGTCAATTCAGAAGTCAGTCACTATATTTTTCAGAATATGCTAATTCAATTAACATCTATATTTCCACAAGTCTTTCTTCAAACTCTACTAAAATCAACACAGACATTCTCTATATGGCCGATATCGAGAGTTGCAAAGGGTTTTCAGATCGGTCAAACGGTGAGTCTGCAGTGATCTTCCGTATCTTGCTATAACTCCTACAGTATGCACAACATTTTATTTTTGGCTAAGTTATGGTTCAAATGCCACCAAAATAATTGACAAAACACTCAAAACCAATAGAATGATGTGTGATTTTTTTTTTTTTTTGCCTCACCAACATCTTGACAGTAAGTGTTTTGAAGTTTTAACTGACAAAACCATCCAGGTCTGGCACATGTGATGTCCTTACTAACTACTAACTGAGCAGGTGTGTGGAAACAGCTTCTCACCAGTAGCTCAGTCAGGAAGTCACCTACTCTGCAGATCTGACGTTCCAGGATTCAGAGCCCCAAGTGAGAGAGTCAGACTTGCTGACTGTGGGGTTGTTCAGATCCTAGTGAGTCTAAGGTCTCTTTTATTTGGATCTTTTGACACTTTCTTCTTTTTCTTTGCTAAAAAGTGTTTGTGCAGCTTAAACTTTAAACCTTGGAAACACAAAATGTCGCAGGTGGGTTGAACATTTCACCCAGTAAGTAGTCCAGTACATATAGGCAAGGCAAGTTTATTTGTATAGCACATTTCAACAACAAGGTAATTCAAAGTGCTTTCCCTAAAACATAAAAGCAACAGGGAAATAAAAAAAGTTTAAAAGCAACATAGGGAAATTGAAAAAATACACATTAAAAAAATAATAAAAGTTACAGTGCAGTGTACAATCAGGGTTAAAATAGTTAAATGGAAAATAAAAACAGGCTGAGGAGTTGAGCAAATAATTGAGTTACAATTATTTTGAAAAGAGAATAAACAGAGAAGTACACTTAATCTAGTCTCTCTAGCTGGTCTGTACTCGGGTCCATAGCAATCTTTGGGTCCACTGAAACTCCAAAAACCCTCGGACACTACAGAGAAACCAGGACATGTCTGTCCGCAGGCCACTTTGATCCAGTTATACTCTGGACCCACCTGCGCGTTTACAGGTGGACAGAGGTTCCTGCAAATCACTCACTTGCGAGATTTAAGACCACTTCCTTCACTCTGTTCAATCTCTCTCTCATTATCTTTTCACTCAGTTTACCTACTCATTTCTCACCGTGTAAATATTTAATTAAAAGCAATGGTAAAAAGCTAAAAACAAAGAAAAAGAAAACAGGACAGTAAAAGTTACAGTGCAGTGTAAGTTATCAATCTACTAGTTAAAGGCAGTGGTAAAAAGAAAAATCTTAAATATTTAATTAAAAGCAATGGTAAAAAGAAATGTTTTCAGTCTTAATTTAAAATAACTGACAGTTTCAGCAGACCTGCAGTTATCTGGGAGTTTGTTCCAGATATACGGAGCATAATAACTGAACGCTGCTTCTCCTTGTTTAGATTTGACTCGGGGAACAGAAAGCAAACCTGCCCCAGACAACCTGAGAGGTCTGGATGGTTCATAACGAAGCAGAAGATCAGAAATGTATTTTGGCCCTAAACCATTTAGTGCTTTATAAACTAACAGCAGGATTTTGAAATCAAATCTTTGACATACAGTAAGCCAATGTAAAGACCTCAGAACTGGAGTGATGTGATCCACCTTTTTGGTCTTAGTGAGGACTCGAGCAGCAGCGTTCTGAATCAGCTGCAGCTGTCTGATGGATTTCTTAGGGAGCCCTGTAAGGACACTGTTACAGTAGTCGAGTCGACTGAAGATAAATGCATGGATTAAGCTTTTCCAGGTCCTGCTGAGACATAAGTCCTTTAATACTTGATATATTCTTCAAGTGATAGTATGTCCATGACTACACTAAGATTTCTGGCTTGATTTGTGGTTCTTAACGTTACAGATTGAAGTCGAGCACTGACTTTCAATCGTTCCTCCCTGGCTCAAAAAACAATAACTTTAACAGTTTTATATTTGTTCAATTGAAGAAAATTCTGGCACATCCAGCCGTTGACCTGCTCAATACAGTTACTCAGCACCCGTATGGGATCATAGTCCCCTGGTGAAATGGTTATGTAAATTTGTGTGTCATCTGCATAATTATGGTAACATATTTTGTTGTTTTCCATAATCTGAGCCAGTGGAAGCATGTAAATGTTAAACAAAAGAGGTCCCAAAATGGACCCTTGGGGAACTCCACATGTCATTTTTGTCAGCTCATATGTGTGATTACCTATAGACACAAAGTAGTCCCTGTCCTTTAAGTAGGATTCAAACCATTTTAGTACTGTGCCAGAAAGTCCAACCCAGTTTTCAAGTCTGTCTAGTAATATGTTGTGGTCGACCGTGTAGCACTGAGATCCAATAATACTATGACACTCTCTGATCTCAAGGCGATGCTGTAAAGATCAAGTTTGTGTTCCTGCAATTATCTTAAAGTCTGAATTCTTTCATCACTTTAATCTCTTAAGTAGTCTGCATCTGTTCTTCTCCAGTGAAAATGTCAAATATTGCGTTTTTCACGACTTGCTTGATTCCCGATCATTGCTGCTTGTGGCTGTATTTATTTTTGTTATTTAAACCTGTGCTTTTCCTACTGTGATTTGTCAGAATGTCTTCAACAAAAAAAGGGCTACCATTGATAAATTTCCCACAATTTTGCGATATCTCTTCATATCTTCTCAGGGCTTTATCTTATCTTTCAAACTTGCTGAACTTGAATTATGCTGTGTGGCGCACCCTGCTTATTCCTCATTTATATTAACACCCACCCAGCTCACTCTCAGGCACATATTTCAGAAATCAGACCGAGGTTTCTGTTGGCCACTGTCTCAGTTAGAGTGTGAGAGCGCAAGGTAGCAGCAGAGAGATCAACAGCTTCTGTGATTATTACTGCGACAGATGACCAACCTGTGTGAAAGTAAAGTGTGAGAGATTTTTTTTTAAAAAGTCATCCGACCACCATGGCTACAACCAGACTAGGAATAAAAACATGGATTCAAAACAGTCATAATAATTATCTGTTTACTGCTGTGGTGTTACATGAATGACCACAACTGTCTCTGTGATTGAATGTGTCCCTCAACATCTGGATCATTGCAGGCATTTTATTCGTGTCTTGTTCTTGTTCTTCTTGGCATCCATATAAATCGTCTCTCAGAACCCTTCAAAACTATTTAGGGGGCTGCCTGTTTTTTATTTCATCTCGTTCCATTAAATCATCTCGAAGCACAGTGAGCACTTTGCACAACACCCCTCCGCATGCTTACAGATGTGCAGCTTTCATAACCCAGTTTTCAGCATGTCCAGAATCAAGTTGTTATCCTCAAGATCGAAGCCCTTGTTGATTTGGCCACACTGGTGATTACCGTGGTAATGGCAAGTGCAGTTTAAAACGACATCAAAAACTCTGCGAGCTGCTATTTTGTCCGTATATATAACATCATCAAAAAGTTCTGGTATATCTGTTTATAGTTCAGCCAAACATACTCAAGTTCTTTTAACAAAGAAGTCAATGATAATAATGTGATTTCATGCTGCACAAGTCGAGAGTAGATTTCCACATAACAGCGGGGCACCGTAAAGTTGGTTGGTTAACTCCTCGTCTTACAGCTCGCTTTGGCTCCATAGTGTTTTATTACTCCCTTGCAAAATCTGAAAACGATATGCTGACAAAAACTGCTGAAAATTTCTGTTTTGTATAAGCAACTTCGATGAACAGTCGCTGTTAGAGCTAACCTGGGTGACAAGTACATTATGTTCATGTTTGCGTCGTATGCACTGTTTGCTGTGAATCCCTTGTGTATGTGAAGGCAATAGGAGTCCAGCGCAGGAATGGCGGACTCCGCCACTAACATTGAAAACTTAAAAAACCGAATGTAATTCCTGAAAAAATGCCGACCATTAATAGTATCAAAAACATTGTTTGATTTCATGAAAATCTTAACATTTATAACATTAAATGTGTATTTCCATGACTAGGCTGTCTTTATTGTTGTATTGGAAATGTTTGATTTTCACTGCATATGATTGAAGAACCGGAGAGAGGCTCTGCAGGCCGTACTGTGTTTCCACACCGAGCCAAAAGTAATATTTGTTTTGTCCTGCATTTCTTCCCGACTTCCAGGTGACCAAGGATGATTTCATGAGCTTTGAGTACATTCTCTGCATGGATGAGAGCAATTTGAGGTACAGTTATTTCAGCTCACAGCATCAGTGTTTATTATTTCTCCAAATGTGGATTGCAGTTGGGCACACAGTTGTTGAAAATACTGGTGTCATGTGTTAAGTGTCCCGTCACACATATTAATGCCTGGGAGAAAAAGAAAAAAACATTTGCCTTGAATGGGGTCAAACTAGGTTGTCCTGCTAACTGTCTCGATAGTGATCTGTGCTACTTGTTCACATGCACATGAAAATGGAGGTAACATTGAGCTTTAACTAACGTGTAGGTGAATGCCTCCCCTTAATGAGCAATATCCTTTCTTAAGCTCTTTCCAGAGGTCAGTGGGAGGGATATTTTCTGATACTTTGAACGTTTAGGGATCATTTTGAGATCACATGCCTATGGCAGATCTGATCTGTAAGCAGCTTACTGAGTTCTTTGGATGCCTTGTCTTTGCTCTTTGAGCAGTTTTTCCTCCCCTTCCCTTTCTCTCCCACATTATTTTTTTCTCCACAAATGTTAAGCTGACGAGACTGAGAAAATGAGACCCTGTCCTAGACAAAATGTACTCAGTCCATGTGTAGTTTTCTTTTAACAGAACCCATCTCATTGTTGTCAGCTTGAAAGTGTTTATACCTCCTGTTTCAGTTTGATGTACAACAGGTTGAGATGTTATTTTAATTTTCTGTGTGTTGCCTGAATCAAGCTTATAACATCTTCTGTTAGTGATTTTGGAAGAAGGTAATCACATTCTGTACATTATTGGAAGGATTTTTAACATGACAGTTCTGCACATAGGAAAACATAGACGTCTCACCTCATATCTACATGGCAGACAAAACAATACTACAATCTAAATATTGTCCAGAGGTCACAAGTTAAAACCTTCAAGCGTTTTCTTATTCTGCTCTCCTGGAGTTACATATTTTCTCTTGTGTTCGCAGTGACTTGAACAGAAAAGCAAAGTTGGTGAAAAACGCCAAGGCACAGATTGAGCTTCTTGGTTCATATGACCCTCAGAAGCAGCTGATCATCAAAGATCCGTATTATGTAAGTATTCAAATATATTCACTTTTAAATATTGAATATTACTGGTCACAAAACACAATGTTAAAGATCTTTTATGTTATACTGAGGAGTGAACAAATATTTAATTTCATTATGAAACAGGGACAAATTAAACAATGTTGTTTAAATATTGGAATAACAGCACTCATATTTTAACCATCTGCACTTGAGAAAACTAAAACTTCTGATCTTGTGTATTTTCCAAGGCATATAGCATTAAATATTCATTAATAAATAAACAACATTCAACTTTAAAGTTTTGGGGGAAAAAAACAACTTCCTTTGATATTATTACTTAGCAAAACTTATTGTGTTTCGACTGTGTGGATGACCCCACAACTGCCATCACATTATGATTCAAATGTTGCTAAATTCTGATTGGTGCACAGAAGTACATGACATCACTTTTCTAACCCATCCTCTTCAAATTAAGAACTCAGACAAAACAAGTAATACAGAAAATCTGTCATGTAAATAAAAAAAAAATGTTTGGAAAATTGGTAGAATTGGTGGAAAAGTTTTTCAGGTACGGTTCCACTGCTCAAAGTAAGAAGCTGGTTGAGGAAATAAGTTTTATGGGCCTTTTAAAACTAAACTTAAAACTGTTTCATGGTGAATGTAAACTGTCAATTTTGTTTGGAAAGAACAAAGAAAAAAAGTCATTTTCTCTTCTTCAAATGGCTATGCACATGTTCAGAGTACTATATATCATAAGAAAAGGGTTTTATAGACGTGAAAAAATGCTGAAATGTTGCGCAGTGGAGACCACAGTTTTGGACACAGCATATATATCTTCTGGTGCACGTGTTAGTTGTGGAGAGAATTTACTCTCCACGGGAAGAGATGGGATATAGGCATGTGTTTCATGAAATAAACAGCCCTGCAACAGTAAAACGGCAGCAGTTCCTTGCTCACTTATTTTGAATAAATGTCTAGATTGTAACCGTAAAAAATGTGCTATTTAAGCGTTCCAGCCCTTTACACACCACAATAAATTACTTTTACAAAACGTACAGTGATGCCAAATTTATCAAATAACAGTAACCTTCTCTGTTTTCAGTTTGCTTAATCACACTCCATGGCTCACTCATCTGTTTTGTTCCTTTTACGTGCTTTGTCTTCTCTGAAAAGTCCTGCCAAATTATTTGGACATGGTTCATTGGATGACTTTTATCTTCTTGAAGGTTATGAATGAGAAAGGCAAGAACGGGAAAAGTGGAAGTGAATAAAGGTTGAGAGATGTTGGAGAGTTTGATCAGTGATGATAAGTTGTCAATTTACATGAATTTACATTTACATCAATTTACATTTAGGACTTTGGGATCCTTGGGACACTCACACTTTTCATATTTTCAAAATAAAACAGTCATCACTTTATTAGAGATGTGGCCGGAAGAAGAGGTTGTGGTTGACCACGATTGATGTAGTCAAGTATAGTAGTTTGTCTCAGATTTTGGCTATGAACATCACTTTTCTTTGTTTGGCTATCCACAAGTGTCTTGTAGCTCTTTTTTGCCAAAAGGAGGCGTGAATGAATACTCTTCGGTCAGTGTGGTTTGGACAGTATTGGATTGTGGTCCCTCGCCAGGAACCACATAGCATGACAACAAAGTGAGCAAAGAGGTGAAGGACAGTCATTGTAAATGTGTCTGGATAAATGTACGTACGTTTTCTACTCCATTTACTGTGATTATAACAACAAACTCACAGCATGGCTGAATCACCAAAGCGCCTTTCTTTATTCTTGGCATTTTTACTGTTATTACTAGACATAATTGAGAGCTTACATTCATAATTTGCTGTTAAACAAGTTTAGCTTGAAATCCCCAGAAGACCTACATTTTTAATAGAATTCAATTACTTATCATGGCATGCATGCATTAATAGAACCACCAGATGTGTGCGTGTGTGTTTTTAGCCATGCTAGCGGTACCATTGACTTTTCACCTAGCGCCACCATCAGGTCAACATTTCAGTTTGTCCAATACTTTGAAAAACTAATGACATTGCCCTCAGCCTCAATTGTACTTTGTGTTGGTAACAGGCTAAACTAAGATGGTGAACAAGGTAAACATTAAACCTGCTTATCAGCATGTTAGCATTGCCGTTTTGAGCATGCTGATGTTAGCATATATCTTGAAGCACTGCTGTGCTAAATTACAACCTCTAAGAGCTCTCTGCATGGCTGTAGCTGGTTTTGTTAAAGAGTCTTACAGCTATTCTAGTACTACATGTCTGACAAAGTTGTGTTTAGAACTGAAACAATTAAACAAAGAATGTTGTAGTCGATCAACAGAAAATTATTTGAATACTTTTTTCATAATTGATTCATGGAGGTGTTTTTTGTGAGGGTGTGAATTTTTTGTTGTCTTAAATAATAGTAATCTGCATATTGGAAAAAAAAAAATCTATAAAAAAATCTTGAAATTCATGTGATTAAAACTTTAAAAGGCAACTTTTATTTATTTTAATTAAAAGGCCTGTCATCTTGGTGGTTATTGATCTGCAACTGCTGTTTTTTCAGTGTTCGTCTCGTTTGTCCAGTGCCTCAGTTCACATTTGTGTTCATTTGTTCGAGTAATCACAAAAAGTTTTGTTAGCTTTACCATAAAAAATGCATCAAGATTTAAGCATTTAAGTCCAACCACTTTGAACCGTCAAAACAAAACATGAAGAAAAAAAAAATGCTTTTGGCAATATATTTCTCCCTAAGGAAATGCTGTGTTGCCAAATTTGAGTGTGGGTTCAAGCTCACATTAAGTGTACAGTTGAAGCCAGTTGGAGGTCTGGGATCTTTTATCATATTTTTTCAAACCACATCACGGAATGGGCCCTACATATCTACAGCTGTAATAAGTATCAGATTATTTGAATTCTTTGCCACCAATTTTTAAATAAAAGATGTATGTAAAGATTATTTGATTTCTCATTTCTTTTGTCTTTTATCTTATAGGGGAGTGACGAGGACTTTGAGAAGGTGTACGAACAGTGTGTACGTTGCTGCAAAGCATTTCTGGAGGTGAACTCCTAACAACGTCCCACCTTATATGATCTTTGTTGAATTTGTTGGATGAAAAATCAACCAAATATGCTTTGGCTCTGTAACACAAGCACACCTCATCAATATAACTGTCTTGCACGTGTCACTGAAAGAACCAGAACACTTTGTTTCAGTGTTGTAAATGTTATACAGACCACACATTGTGTGCATTTATAAGGATGCTGTGTGGACATGTTTGGAGACTGTAACTTCAGGTGATTAATAAAATGGATAAATGAGAATGACTATTGGAAATTTGATTTTACACACAAATCATTCATCTTACAATTTGAATATGCTAAGGAATTTATATGAATGAAATTATCCTGCAGATGATGATGCATGTATTTGGATTTGTTTGGTACTCAACTCTTTTTATCTGACCTATTATCACAAGAAATTCTTACAAATATTATATAGCAAATATATCTGATACTTAAAAACCAAAAAATATGAAAGGAAGATAATTTCTTTTGAATGTTATTCCGTTTTGTACGCGTAAATTATTCTGCCGTGCACCAGTCACCACTTAATACTTAATGGTGGTAATCCCATAAGGGAGGACTCGTCCGTGCCAATACATGTTACCACTCAGCGTGATTAATTTCCACACAGTAGAGTTAACATTGAAAAGGGGACTGTAAATCATCAAACAAGGGTGGAACCAAATGTTAGATAAATCAGCTGGTGACTGGATTGTTGACAATTGCTGAAGAATTTTGGTTTTTGTTTTAGTTTCCTTGTATGTGAAGCACAGCTTAATTGAGGAAGGTTTCAAATTTTTTCAGATTTCAGATTTTCAGGACGCAAGTTAGAAAATGTTTCTTTTGGACACAACTTTGTCCAATCTATGCTTTTGTTTAGTCCCAAAATAAAACGCATCAGGCAAAGTAGTTCCCTAATACCAGGTATTAAATCCACAGCCTATACAAATTTACTCTGGCACAAGCAAATGATGGCTACAAAGTTCAGAATACTTTGACATTTAGGGAAATACACTTATTAGCTTTCATGCCGAGAGCTAGATGAGAAGATTGATACAACTCGCTTTAAACTCCTTAAACACAAGATCACAAGACTATAATTTTTTTTTTAAATAATTTCTTGGCCAGAACCAGTAACTTTCTAGAATCTCCTCTGATTGCTAAGAAACAGTCTGACACATAGTTCATAAAACTATTTTTTATCTGCATTAAACAAAAAAAGATGTAAAATGTTATTTACTGAGCTTTAGAGGTGCTGGTAGGCCAACTTTGTTACTTATGCATAGAACCAGGTGCTAGGTGTTTCCCCTTGTTTCCAGTCTTTGTGCTAAGCTAAGCTAACCGGCTGCTTGCTTTAGCTTCTTATTTAGTGTACAGATATCTGAGAGCGGTGCCTCTCTGCAAGAAGAGAGTACAATAAAGGTGAATAGGATTTTTATTTGTTGCGCTCACAGTTTTAAAGAATTTAAGACCTTCAACAGGAACATCTCTTACCAGAAAAAAGGGTTTTTTTTGACAACATTGTTTGTAGGAACTATTTTTTGATACCAAGTATGTATGAAGTAATTAAGACATTGTTTCTGGAAAGAGACAAAGGTTTGTGTGGCATTTTAGCCATTTTTTATGGTATAGCAGTGGAGAAAGGCAGGAAAAACAGGGAAGGTTTAATAACATTCAACAAAGGACCCCAGCCAGAGTCAAACTGGGAATGTTACTGTTACATGGTAGGCATCCTAAACCAGTCAACCACCGGGATGCCCCCAAATGGGCATTTCTAATGCTGTGAGCGCTGCAAATGAAATTCCATTCCTCTATTGTTTTGGTGCGGCAGTAGAAATGTCACAAACACATATCGTAAAATTCAAATAAAACTAAAAACAATTTCACTGGAGTAAAGTGAGAAAATAAGTTATTTGGTGAAAGGAACTTTTATGAGTTATTTTTATGACTCACATTCTGGTAAATGTTTGCATAAAAATGATTTTTTCACAACATCTATTTAAAACATACAAAAAAACACACTGCACTCTCTCTTATATGACAAACACTTATAACAGGAGTGGGAAGTTCACAAAATCTGTAGTCCCAGAACTTGGTCCAGTCGTGCTCATTCAGGGAGCATTCCCCATTTCAAGATGGGAATTTTAGAGAAAATGCAGGACACAACAAAGACCATTCATATTTGTACCAATCTTATAATTTATTTAAATATATTTTGATTTTTTTTGTATATACATATATGTGTATTTGTGTATTTAACAACCATTTGGTAAATGCCAGTCACTTTAATTTAGGTTAGGTAGCTGGAATCCTCTTATGCATTGCTTTACAGCATGTACATATTTGTCTTGTTTTATGTGGTCACGGTGTAAAGTATGTACAGTGGAAACTTGTGACAATTTCAATTTATAAATATAGACTGTACCACACTCTACCAAAATCCACCGGAGGGCTGTAACTAACAACCCCACATTCTTTTTTTTAGCATGTCTCACAAAGACACGGAGAAATGTTCATGCAATTAATAATTTAACCACAGTCCTTTCTCAGTGGGTGAAACTATGCCGCGACTGCCAGCCAGGGGTCTGTGAGAACTTTGTGTCTGCGTAATCAGTAGTGCAGTAGAATGGATGGGGCTCAACCCAAAACACTCATACAGAGCAAACCAATCGCAGAAGGCATGCTTAAAAATAGTACATTTGGATTTTGCTCCTCTCTTAAAGAAATGAACAAAATAAAAATATGCGTATCCCTTTCTTTTTTTGGTTTGTTTTAGCAATATCTTTTTGGATGCCAGCTGGAAAAAAAGGCCCCATGTTTGTTTCTCTCAGCTACTTCATTTGTCTTCTCCTCTCCACTCTTCACCACTTTTTGTTGGTCTGGTTTTGTTGCTCCCTCGTGGTGACAGCCAGCCATCGAGGCCCAGCGGTGGGTGGCAGTAATCCACGCGCTAGCAGAACAGACCTCACTGAAGGGCAGTGCAGTGCCTAATATCAGTCGGGGATGGTCAGAGTATTTTAGGCTTCCCTTTTACTGTCCAAGGCACTTCTTTCCCAACTTCTTTTTTTTTTTTTCTTCTGGAAAACTTGTGTTAGGTTTCAACCTACAGTGAAGAGGAAGTAACATTCAGCACAGTCTCCAACTTGGCAGCGCCTGACAAATTCCTTCTTTTCCAAAAAGAATCACGAAACAGTAAGAAAATAATCAAGAAACTTGATATGCTACAGATCTGCTGCTCTCGCTGAACGCTGTGTGTAACGACACAGCACACATATCACCACTGCGAACAACTGCCTCAGCGTCTCCAGGCAGAAAAACATGATCTTTACATTGTTAACTTCAGCCCTTACTTGCAGGACTCTGCCTTATTCTTTCACTCTTTATATTTATCTGATGCAGTGATGGAAAAAGTATTCATGTATTTTAATAAAGTAGAAAATGTAAACTCCACTAGAAATTAAAATCCTGCATTCAGAATTTTACTTAAGATATATCAGTAAAATAGAGTTCAATAAATAGATAGAGTAATAAAAGTTCGTATCTAAATTAAAAGTACTGATGATGGTGAATGTCCCCTTTTGGAGTATAATATAGTTGAATATATTATTATTATTATTATTATTATTAGCGCATTAATATGTAAGCAGTATGTTAATGCTGTATCTGGTCATGGTAATTGTATATTGTTGGGTAGTTTAATCTTAAACAATTTATACTTTTTATAAAGTGACTAGTTACTCTAGCAATATGTCCCTGTGAAATGTAGTGTATTAGATGTATAAAGTACATAAATAAATTGGAAATACTCAAGTAAAGTACGTAAAGTAAAGTGTGCCAAAAAGTACAGTATTTGGCAAAATTTACTTTGTTACTTTGCTCCACTGCTCTGAAGCTTCCTGTATGGTTACAAATACCAGTTGTGCTGTACCTCTATTCTACCACCTTGCTGCAGTGGCAAGTAACTAAGCACTGTACTTAGTAAGTATGAATTTCAGGCACTTGTATTTCACTTAATTATTTCCATTTTATGCTTCTTTATACTACTCCTCTACATTTCTGAGAGAAACCACACTACACTACAGATACTAGTTACTTTACAAATGACTGTAAATTAAATTATAATGCATTGTTTTAAAGAATTAATTAGTATATAAAGGAGTTCAAAGTAGCTCCACCTCCACCAGCTACAACAGTAAATGCTACTTACACATTAATGTGTCAGTACTAATAATGCAATAATAAAATATATAATAGTATAACACTCACAGGGTCCATTGTTGCATCGAGTCCTTCTACTTTTGATATTTTCAGTATATTTAGATAATATATATATACTTTTTGACATCATAGTATTGTTACTTTTACTTAGATAGATGATCTGAATACTTCCTTCACCACTGCCACCTTGTGACTTTTGAAATTTGAATAATTAACCTGCATTACTTACACACATGCCTCTGGCCTACCTGGATTCTAATGTTAATATCTAACAAGTGCAACACACCAGCACTTTGACCATATGTCCTATATCCACAATATTCTATTCAAACTTGAAATAGAGTTGATTTAAAACAGTACCTTGCGTGTGGTGCTACCCCTCTGTGCACTGCGGAGTGCCGGCTAGTCGCGTGAGAAGCCGCGCACATCTTTTGAAGTCTGAAGAAGAATTAAGGTGAAACAGACAGACATGGTGTATGAGTGTTGTGTTGACATTTGGACTAACAAAGAGAATCATTCCTAATAGTTTCAGGGAGCCAGTGTAATTGCAGCTTACAGGCGGGTACTGTGCATTCTCTGGTGTGGTGGTAGACTCTGTAGACATGCTTCCGGCACTTGGGACTGAAGTAGAGCGGACCTAAAAGGGAACAGTAAGAACTGTAAGAACATTTCCTGCGCCACATGCACCTGCGCATCTGACATCTGTTTTTACAGCCTCAGGAATTCTTACATTTTTGACTGCCTCGTTGATCATACCTCAATCCAGTAACATTCTGTCTCTTTCATAAAATGCCTCCCTGACTCTCTCAAACTCACTCAAGCATCAGTGAGTTTGAAATGAGGCCTTACCTGTTATATGTTTGAGGAACTTCTCCTTCTTTTTGAGATCTGTGGGGAATACCGCTGTGGAGAGTAAGAGGTTGGGAAATAAGTGTCAGGTTTGCACTTTTTTTCACTTTTTGCAGTCATTTATTTAATATGGGGCTCATCACATCACCAAAACCTGAATAAGTTTTGATATCACCGAGCCACAGCCACAAAAA